AACAAAATCCCATTAATAAGTGTAGATTTGGGAGAGATCCAAGATGGCTGCTCGGGTAGACATCTAACCACGGCAGAACACAACAATTTCAACGGAATACAACTAAGATGTAGAGTGGACATTGCCAAGAGCTACAGATAGTCGACTGACTGAAAATTCTACAACAAGAAGGAAATAGAAAACCAGAAGGAAAATCAGAGGAGCTGAAAAAAAGCCTAAGGTACGGAGACATGCTGCGCGCCCGCCCGCACGTGTGCACGGAGAGGTCGCAGCCGGAAAGGAGGAGAGGGCTGGGTGCTGCCTGGCGTTCCCTAGCAGGAAGGAAATAAAACCCCCAGCCTGGGCTGAACCTCTGAACCGACAGTGCTGAGCCCCCCGAACCGGCAGCACTGAGCCCCAGTTATGGGCCAGACCCTGGGGACCCAGGCTCCGGCAGGGGGAGACGGGGCTGTGAGGCTGAATCCCAGAAGAGCAGCGAAAAGCAGGGCCCCCGGAGGACTGAATGTTGACTCTGATGCTGGGTTACCCTAGCCGGAAGAAACAAGGCCTCCGGCGGTGCTGAGCCTCAGTCCGGACTGCTCCAAACCCCAGTTCTGGGCCAATCCCTGGGGACCCAGGCTCAGGCAGAGGGAGACAAGGCTGTGAGGTGGAGTCAGGGGAGAGCGGCGAAAGGCCGGGCCCCCGGACTCGCGCACACTGCGCGCAGAGGACAGTCTGTTGACTCTGATGCTGGACTCCCCTAGCGGGAAGGAGAAAAAAAGCTCCGGGCTGGGGGAACGCGACGAGGAGCAGGAGCCCCTGCCAGACACCGGCCAACCGGGCACCAGCAAGGAGGCGGGCGACGGGGCCCCTGGGGGGGTGGGTGCCCCTGAGCCTTCGACCGCTGAGCTCTTGCAATGGAGCCAAGGCCGGGGGCTGCTTCCTGGGCGGCGCCATCCCTGGCAACAGGCTGAAGCAGCACAGGAGCCCGCGGAGAACAAAGGGGTGCCACAGGCCAACCTGCTGAGCTTCCAGGACAAGGAGGAAGAAACCAAAGAAGTTCTCAATGTGAAGAAATCAAGTGAGAGCAAAAGATAGTAAAATTACTTAAGAAAGAATACAAAGAAGTTCTTGAAAAATCAAAGACTAAGTCAGAACTCAACTCACCAGCCAACATTGCAACATAAATGCGTTTAAAAAAGAAAAGAAAAAAAAGGACAGAATGTTGGAACAGCGGCGGCCAGGCCTAGAGTGGCCAGGCACAAGGCAGTGGCAGCCAGGCCCGGAGCAGCAACGGCCAGGCCCCAGAGCAGCAGCAGCCAGAACCAGAGCATCAACAGCCAGCACTGGAGCAGCCAGACCTGGGGCAGTGGCAGCCAGGCCTGAAGCGGAGGCGGCCAAGCCCAGGGTGGCCAGTCCAGGAACACCCAGACCCGGAGTGGCCGGGCCCAGAGAAGCCGGGCCCAGAGCAGCCAGGGTGGGAGCAGCCAGACCCAGAACAGCAGTAGCCAAGCTCAAAGCATCCAGGTCGGGAGTGGCCAGGCTCTGAGTGGCCAGGCCCGGGGCAGCCAGGCCCAGAGCAGCGGAGTCGGGTGCGGCCAGGCCCGGAGCAGCGGCTGCCAGGCTGGGAGCGGCCAGGCCCAGAGCAGCTGGGTCGGGTGCGGCCAGGCCCGGAGCAGCAGCAGCCAAGTCCAGAGCAACTAGGTCGGGAGCAGCAGTGACCAGACCCAGAGCAGCTTGTTGTGGAACAAACCAGAGCAACAGAGGCCAGGCCCTGAGCAGCCAGGCCCGGAACAGCTCGCTCCTCGCCTGCCCCTGCCCCACGGCTGCCTCTCAGACATGGCTGGAAACTTTCGCGGGAACTTGAGGGTCTGCTGAATCAAGTGATGAAGGCTTAGATCTGGATGTGTTGAGTTAGTATAGGGCTGGGGTGTTGATCTGTGAGTGCCTTGGGTGGGGCCTGGATGAGGCTAGTTGACCTATTGGGAAATGTCTTTTGTGAGAAGTGTATCATTGGGCATGTGGAGGTATTATTGATATGAGAAAATGCTAAGTAACTGATTTCCTATCTGAAAAGGGATTTACTATCGGGGAAAGGGAGGGAAGAAGAGGCTGAACATAAACTGTGCACCTATGGATGAGGACAATGGGGGATGGGGAGGGGGCAGAGGGTGGGGTGGGAACCTGGTGGAGGGGGGAAGAATTGAGGAACCTTTGTAATAATATGAACAATAAAGATTGATTTAAAAAAAATAAGTGTAGATTTCATAATGAAGAAATTTTTTTTTTAATTACCATTAGGCAAACACTACAATAATAACTGCTATAAGCAAACTCTACCAACAGATACTAAAATCAGTGAGTAAAAGTTTGAGGAATATCTTCTCCCAAAATATTTATTAATTACAAAGGGGGAAACGGTTATCCTGCAATGGAGAAACCCAGCAGACATCACTTCAACTAAGTGATAAAGGTTAATATCCCCAGTAGTAAGGTATAGCAGCATCACATGTTCCCTGGTATGATGTATTGAGAAGGACATGGCATCCCTGCCATTGTATTCTTGCCAAAAATGCATGTTTCCAATAAAACACAAGAAAATGTTGGACAAACCCAAAATGAGAGACAAACTACAAAATCACTGACCAATACTCTTCTAAAGTGTCAAGATCATAACAAAGAAAAACAGAACTATCTCAGATTAAAAGAGACATAGCAAGAAAGTTGCAGGTTTAAGAATATGAGAAGACGAGCCACAGCTTGGGAGAAAATATTTGCAAAAGACATATCTGATAAAGGACTATTATCCAAAATATACAAAGAACTCTTAATACTCAACAATTAAAAAAATAATCTGATTAAAAATGGGCAAAAAACCTGAATAGATACCTCCCCAGAGAAGATATACAGATGACAAATAAGCAAATGAAAAGAAGCTCTACATCATATGTCATTAGGGAAATGCAAATTAAAATAAGATACCACTATAAACATATTAGAATGGCAAAAATCCAGAATACTGACAATATAAAATGCTGGTACGGATATATAGCAGCAAGAACCCTCATTCATTGCTCATGGGAATTCAAAATGGTACAGCCACTTTGGAAAACAAGTTGTCAGTTTCTCATCAAATTAAATATACACTTACTATACAATCCATCAACCATGCTCCTTAATATAAACCCATAGGAGTTGAAAATGTATGTCCACACAAATCTTTGCACCTGGCTGTTTACAGCAGCTTTTTTCACAACTGTCAAATATGAAAACAACCAGCATGTTTAGGTGAATGAATAAATAAACTTTTCCACATCCAGACACTGGAATATTATTCAACTCTAAAAGAAATGAGCTATCAAGCCATGAAAAGACATGGACAGAGCTTAAATGCTTATTGCTCAGTGAAAGAAGCCAATATAAAAAGGCTATATACTGTGTGATTCCAAATATAAGACGTTCCAGAAAAGGCAAAAAAAAAAATGGAGAAAGTACAAAGATCAGTTTTTGCAGGGATTGATGGGAGTGAGGAATTAATAGGCAGAACACAAAGAATTTTAGGGCAGTAAAATTATTCAGTATTATACTGTAATGGGGGATACAGGTCATTACACATTTACCTAAACCCATACAATGTACAAACAAAGAGTGAACCCTAATGTGAACGATGGTCCTTGAGTGATGATGATATGTCAGTGTAGGTTTGATAAGTATCAAACATACCATTATTGTGAGGGATGTTGATAATGAGGGAAGCTGTGTTTGTGTCGGGGTAGGAGGAATATGGAAACTCTATTGTCTGCTCAATTTTGGTGTGAACCTAAAACGGTTCTTTAAAAAAAGCTCTCCTTTTTATTCAATTGCAGTTTACATTCAATATTATTTTGTATTAGTTCCAGGTGTTTAGCATAGTGGTTAGGCAATCATATACTTTACAAAGTGTTCCCCCTGATATTCCCAATATCCATGTGGCACCATACATAGTTATCACAATATTATTGACTATATTTCCTATGCTGTACTTTATATCCCCATGACCTAGAAGTGAAATAAATCAGTCAGAGAAAGACAAATACCATATGATTTCACTTATATGTGGAATCTAAAGAACAAAGTAAACTAACAAACAAAATAGAAACAAACTCACCAATACAGAGAACAGACTGATGGCTGGCTGCCAGAGCAGGGGGGAGGGATGAGTGAAAAAGGTGAAGGGATTTATAAGTACAGATTGGTAGTTACAAAACAAAGCTCTTTTTCAAAATTGCAATGTGGGATCCTGGGCTGCATCCCCTGTTGATTTCCTGGATTTGATCATTGTATTATAATAATGTAAGTTGTTAAAATTAAGGAAATCTGAGTGAAGGATATATGTTAATTGTACACTATTTTTTGCAATAAAGTCTAAAAGTCATTTCAAAATAAAAAGTTTTAAAATTTACAGTCACAATTCAATTAAACAAAATAAATAAAACTCCCATTTCTTCAAAAGATTCTTGCTATACATAAGGCATTATTTCATAAATGAGAACACCTTTAATAAAGTCCTTCTACCATTTAAGTAAGTATGTGTTAATATTATCACTAATATATTTAGTACTAAGTGCTAAGTGCATTGTTCTAATTATATTATGAATAGTAACTCACTGAACCTCAGAATCATTCTAGAATATTACTATAACCTCCATTTGACAGGTGAGAAAACTGAGTACCCAAAGTCACTTAGTGATAGAGTTGGGATTTCAGCTTCAGAATCCAGGAACTCAACAACACTCCCACAGTGTTTCTCAAAAACAAAAGTAGTAGTCATAACAGCAATAGCAGCAAAAATGATGATGACAATAATGTTAATAACAAACTAGTAAAATATATTAAAGGTAGCCCTTTCATGAGATCTTCTGACTTACAACAAATTTCACTGTACAACAGAGTATTGTATTAGGTAAGTGCCAGTGAGTTTTATAATTGTTATGGGGAGAAATGATCATTTGAGAGTCTAAGGGTTGAGGATAAAAAGTTACCTTCTGTTTTTCTCTATAATCTTCTCCTTCAAACTTGTACAAACTTTGTTCAGTGTCCATTCTAAAATTTCTCAGAGAAGACTCTCCCATTTTCTGCAAGCGTTCATTCATCTCTGCGGTCTATGTTTGAAAGCATTAAAATTAGAAAATCATCACTGAATTACTTATAAATATCTGAGTATACTCTATCTTTTTAGAAAGTCAAGTTTTGACACAAAATACCCAATCTGTTAACTTTTAAGGTAAGGATATAATGCTGACATCAAACTTGAATATAAATTTAACTTGCCCCAAGTATTTTAAATACTTAAATGGTTCTTCCAAAGTATTCTTCAATTAGGCTTTCTTTAAAATATTTTATCATTGAAGATATAACCGTATTATATTTTCTATTGCAAAATTTTAATGGTATAGTAGCTAGTATTAAAATACAGGAAAACTTGGATTAAACAATTGGCATACTAACATAAGATTGCTAAAAATTCAAAGATAATATCTGACACATGAAAAGATGTGTCAGCATAACTAATCAAGAAAATGCAAATTAAAACTACAATGAGTATCACCTCACACCTGTCAGGATGGCTATCATCAATAAATTATCAAGCAACAAGTAATAGATAGGATGTGGATAAAAGGGAACCCTTGTGCATTGTTGGTGGAAATGTCAACTGGTATAGTCAACTATGGAAAATAGTATGAAGGTTCCTCAAAAAAAAAAATACCATATTATTCAGCAATTACATTCCTGGGTATTTATTTGAAGCAAAGACAGTAACTTGAAAAGATGTCTGCATCCCTCATGTTCAATGCAGCATTATTTACAGTACTCAAGACATGGAAATGACATGTGTCCATTAATATATGAATGGATATAAAATATATGGTGTATATGTATACAATGGAATATTACTCAGACATAAAAAGAAGGAAATCCTGCCATATTCAACACTTGGATGCACCTTGAGGGCATTATGCTAAGTGAATAGTTAGACATAGAATGACAAATACCATATGATATGTGGAATATATATATAAAAAAAAAACCTCATCAATACAGAGAACAAATTGATAGTTGCCAGAGGCAGGGTATGGAGTCAGTTATAAAATAAGTAAGTTCTGGATATATAGTGTGAATAAACAAAAATATGGTCTGAAAAGTAAGTCTACCAACTTACAGAAAGACAGCAAATAGTGAACATGGAAAAATACTCATGGGGATGGAATCAGCAAAATCCAGACTGTGAGCAACTCAAAAGGAAATAACCCAGTTTCTATACCAAATAAATTACAAGGAAAATAATACATAAAAAAGAGAGAACTACAGATTTTTAAAAATACAGATGACATATCAACCAATGGCAATGTGTGGACATTATGTGTATTTGAATTTAAAGAAACTTTTTTAAAAGTATAGCTACTTGTGAAACATCAGCAGATAAGTGGATTAAAAAACTATGGTACATCTACACAAAGGAATACTACGCTGTGGTAAAGAAGAAGGGCTTCTTACCATTTGCAACAACATGGATGGAATTGGAGAGCATTATGCTAAGCGAAATTAGCCAGGCAGAGAAAGATAAATATCACATGATCTCATTCATTTGTGGAATATAATGAACAATATAAACCAATGAACAAAAACAGATCCAGAGACAGAGAAACATCAATCAAATCGTCAAACCTCAGGAAAGGTGGGGGTCGATGGGAGTAAGGGGGAGAGACCAACAGAGGGACTGTGTGCATGCATATGAGCCTAATCAATGGACACAGACAACAAAGGGGTAGGGCATACGTGATATAGGGGGGTAAAGGGGGAATAGGGACATATATGTAAAAAATAAAAATTAATAAATTATAAGTATATATATATATATATATATATATATATATAATGTAATCTATACAAGTGGTCACCATAACCTTAAGAGAAATTGTTTCATCTGACAATGATTTCTAAATGAAACTCTCTGTACCCTGAAAATTATCATGGAAGGAAATAAAGAGGTTTCCTTCAAAAGTTGTAAGGATTGTAATTTAAAGTCAATACATTTGGCCTCTTGAACTAAAGTAAATAATTTGTGTGTTTGCCTCCCTGACAAAGTTTATATAAAGTTACAAAAAGAAATTGACAGCCAGTTTGAAATTGAAGTGCCAGGGTCCAGAGCAAAGAATATCCTTACATGATATTATTCTATAATGTCATAATTTTTGATATTTCACAACAGCATATTATTATCCCCCTCAAAAAAAAAAACTTAAAAACTAATTCTCTGAATGTTTGGCAGCAATTTAAAAAAAGGACATGAAAGGATTTAGTCTCTTTCAGAAGGAATTAAATCACTGGGAAGGCACTGGAGAATTCTATATTGTCCCTTCTTGCCCTTTTGGCCAATAGAGACCTTCCTTTTACAATCCAATAGCCCACAGCTGTTGCCTCAACTTTCTGTTCAACCTGAGGTTGAAACCCCGTGGTGTGTGGTACCATGGATCTGTCTCTCACCCAATGATGTGAGCTGAGCCCTCCCTGGAGAAGAAATGTGATCAATGCTGGGGCCCACCAACAGGCAAGGGGATCCCAAGACAGGCGCTTGGTAGCATAGGCTACCAAGGAGACAGAATTGAACCTCATATCACCCTGCTTGGCCCTGGAGGATGGCTGGTTAGCCAGAGATGAGTAAGATTTCTCAGGGAAGGAACAACCTAAGACAGGCACAGTCGAAGAGGGGCCATCAGGAGAGAACCTGGAGATCAACAGAGGTAGGGCACAGACCCTCACCCCCTCCCAACCTTTCAGGGACCTGAACCCTCACTCCTTTGGAGGGAGGTCTCCTGTTCCCATGGTTGCTTCGCTTCCCATGCCCAGCTCAGATTGAGACCCAGGTAACAGAGACTTGGCCCAGCTCAGATGGAGACCCAGGTAACAGATGGAAACTTGGCCAACAGCAGCTACCCTATATCTAAATCCAGCATAGCACCAGGAATGTTCAGGGCCTATTCAAGAATGCAAATAATCCTTTCCACTAGTATTTACGGGTTAAACTAAGATTGTTGTTAGAGTATTAAATTTAACAGTAAAATAGTAATCAAGTTTTCAGATTAATTTAAATTGGTTAATAGAAATAAGTGAACATCCAAGAAAACTTAAGTGTACTGGACAAAAAGCTGTTCCTAAAGTATTAACTAAAACTTCTATTGGTAGTGCATCTCACGGAAAAATTGCTTAACATGAAATGAACCTAAAGCAATCTTATTTTTGTGCAAAAACTTAAAATTTAAAGTTATCAAGACTGCATTACAAAATTTACAAAAGCATCCATTAAAAAAAAGAGGGATAGTAGAGTAATATCATGTAAGGAAAAATATCCTGTAAGTAAATTGCATCTAAAAAATTTTTACTGTAGAAAATTAATTTTCATTTGTAATGCCAACAGCAAGACACCCATGAAAATCACACATGGTGTCAAAACAAGCCAAAGAAAAATTGTTTGGGCAAAAATAAAAAGGATCCCAAGTCAATTTTATAGAAAAGATTCCTTTATTAACTTCTGGTCAAGAACATATTTGTATATTTTCAGAAAACTACTCCAAGACCCTGGGGATTTCTGCAACAGAGAGGAGTTGTCAGGTCTGCTCAGACCACGAAGACAAGAGGAGAAACAGCTCAGAGATGGAAGATGCTAATGATGCCTGGCCATGCTAGCAGTCAGCAGCTGTGCATTGCTGCAGGTTGCCCAGGACCAAACCAGAGAGGGTCGGACCTGCATTGCCACCATCTGTCCATCATCCAGATATCATTGCTGGCATGTACATAACGTGTTTCCCCGAAAATAAGACATCCTCCGAAAATAAGACCTACTTACAGGTTTCCTTCTGAGTGAAATATAAGGCATCCCCCGAAATAAGCCCCCCACCCCCCAGGCTAAACATGAGAGATTTGGTCCACTGATTCTGAAAGAAATGGAGTCACAAGAAATTCACCAGGAAATTCAGGAATTGGATTGTTATGATGATGTTCCAGAAGATGATGACATGATTGTCATTGAATAAATGAGTAAATTCTTGAGACTGTAGGATTCACAGTTTGTCTGGTTTGTGTTGACAACTACCGTACTAGCGTACTGTATACAGGTAATAAATTTTCTTTATTTTCATTTAACAATAAATGTGTACCGTATTCTTCTTCATGGAAAAATAAGACATCCCCTGAAAATAAGACCTTTTGCTCTTTGGGAGCAAAAATTAATATAAGACACTGTCTTATTTTTAGGGAAACAGGGTAGAAAGAACTATTTGACATTGAAACTGGGTCTCAGAACTGTTGGACACTGAAATTGGGACCCAAACGTTTTTTGTTATTATATGTTTATTTCTAGTCTGCAGTTGCAATATTTTTCAAAGAAAAGAAATGGGGGGAAAGTAGTTATAGAGATAAAGAACCAATGAACAGACTGTCAAACTATAGCCGGAAGGCAAGGGAGGTTGGGTGGGGGGGGGCTGTAAGAGATCAACCGAAGAACTTGTATGCATGCATATAAACATAACCAATGGACACAAGACACGGGGGGGGAGAGGGGGAGGTGAAGGCATATGTGGCTGGGGGGAGGTTAAGGAGGGGGGGAAGGAGAAATATGTACTACTATTTGTAATCCTTCAAACAATAAAAAATTTTAAGAAGAAACAATTAGAAAATTTAATACTAACTGGATATTTGATATTATTAATGATTTATTGGAGTTTTCAAGTAGTGTGATTCTATAATTATTATGTTTTTAGAAAGAGTTCTTATATTTTATTTTTAACTTTCTATTTTTTATATATTTAATTTATTGGGGTAACATTCTATATAATAAAAGCCTAGGTGGTCTCGTGTGACATTGTCACAAGATGGCTGCCACAAGATGGCCACCCTCACATTGTCACAAGATGGCCACCACAAGATGTCCACCACAAGATGGCTGGCAGGGGAGGGCAGTTGGGGGTGACCAGGCATGCAGGGGTGAGAAGTTGGGGACCATAAGGCTGGCAAGGGAGAGCAGTTGGGGGTGATCAGGACAGCAGGGGATGGCAGTTTGGGGTGACTGGGCTGGCAAAAGGCAGTTGAGAGCAATCTGGCCAGCAGGAGAGTGGATAGAGGGCAATCAGGCTGGCAGGCGAACAGTTAGGAACCAGCAGTCCCAGAATGTGAGAGGTATGTCTGACTGCCGGGATTGGGCCTAAACCAGCAATCAGACATCCCCTAAGGGGTCCCAGATTGGAGAGGGTGCAGGCCTGGCTGAGGGATACTCCCCTCCCCATGCATGGATTTTGTGCACTGGGCCTCTAGTTGATTAATAAATTATATAGATACTAGAGGCCTGGTGCATGAAAATTCATGCACTGGAGGGGTGTTCCTCAACCTGGCCTGCCTCCTCTCACAATCCAGGAGTCCTCAGGGGTAGGAGTCGACCCGGTGATCAGGGGAAGGTGATGTCCCATCACACCTCTCCTGCTGCTACTGCTGGTAGTGCAAGCCTTGGCTGGCCATGGTTACCTGAGCCTCGGGTGGCCCTGAGCAGCTGGGCAGCCACCATTCAAGGTTTACCTACCTCGGGCCAGCCCTGGGAAGCTGGGGGGCTAAGGAAACTGGGGAACTCGAGGCAGGAGTGCAGCTGTGGAAGCTGCCATCTTTGAGGGTGTGGCAGTCAATTAGCATATTCCCTTCTTATTGGCTGTGGGCACCACCATCTTTGTGATGGCGTGAGAGTAAATTAGAATATTCCCTCTTTATTAGATAGGATCAGGTGTACAATTTTATAATACCTCATCTGTATATTGTATTGTGTGTTTACCACCACAAGTCAAGTCTTTCTCCATCATCATTTATTCTCCCTATGCCCTCTTCTACCTCTCCCATCCCCTCCCCATTTCCTCTGGTAATCACCATATGTTGTCTGTGTCTATGAGGAGGTTTTTTTCTTTGCTTAATCCCTTTGGCTTTTTCATCCAGCCCCCCTCCCTCCTCCCCTCTGACAGCTATCAGTCTGTTCTCTGTACTTAGTCTGTTTCTATTTTGTTTTTTAGTTTATTTTGTTCATTAGATTCTACATATAAATGAAATCATAGTACTGGCTTCTTTCACTTATCATAAAGCTATAGAACATTAATACAATGGAATACTACTCAGTCATAAAAAATTAAGGAAATTTTACCATTTGCAAAAGCATGATGGTTCTGTCTACTTTTGCTTGTATTTAAAATTATCCAAAATAATTTCTGGCAAAAAGTAAATTCAACACAAAACCACAATATTCTGCAACAGCTTATTATATATAACTTACAAATAATGCTTTAATATTTCATAAAATGTTCACAAAAGATTTTCAGTTAACAAAATTTACCAGCAGATAATTTTTAATCCAGTGCAAAAAATACAGTCCTGATATATGTAATTAAACATAAAATTTATTTTGTTTTTATACAACTATATTTTCAACAATCATGTAGTAAAATATCACTCAATGTTAAACTCTGGTTCATAGTCTTTTTTTTTTCATAGTCTTTCTTAAACTAAAGATACCTAAACTACCCCAGCATATAAATCTACAAATTCTTAGAGAGGACATGAGTCTTTTGAAGCATGAAGTTTAAAAGATGTATTTGAAACAAGTACAGAGAGCATGTTGACATATGTTGATTTCAAAACAATCCATTGTGAAAACAAAATGTCATTTTAACTAACCTTCTTTTCCCCTCTTTCCAAAAGAGTTGTAATGTCTTCATCTGTCAGCTCACTTTCCTTGGAAGCAAAAACATGAGTGGCTCCATGACGTATCATTTGCAACATTTCCTCTTTGGCCAGCTTGTTAGACTGTTGGTCAATGAGTCTTCCTAATAGCAAAAATAAAAGTTATATATATATATATTCTACTATATTCCAGAGAAAGCATGGCATAACAGTTCTAATAAGACACCACTACATTTATCCATAAGTTCTTATCTTTTATAAGAACAAAAATTCGTGAGCTTTAGTTATTTTTAATTAACAGCCCTACAAGTTTTTCTTCTATCATATCTTCTATTTCGACATGAATTTCCTTCTGTAAAATTCAGCTAAAACTCGGAAGGACAGAAACATTTTTTCAAGTACAAAATTCACTTTTTAGATCAAATTTTTCTATACATAAAGATACCCTCAAATACCTGTTTTAAAAACATCTTAACTCAACATTTTGTCTGACACTTGGCTATAAGCTATTAATGTTTAACTAGCTTATAGTGAATGCAAGGCTTTAGTTTAAGATTTAAATTAGCAGGGGGCAATGGTAAGATATGTACACAGATAATAATTTAAATTAAAAAAAGATTTAAATTAGCATTTTGTTTTAAAAACTGACATTTTTCAATCACTAAGCTTGCAAATTTTGGTCAACTTTCACTAAAAGTAATCTCTTTTGAAGAAGTTGCATGATTTTTGAGAGAAAAAAAACCAAACCTAAATTTATACATAAGTTTATACCTTGTTGTATAACAATTGAGTCAAGTCTCAGTTTTATCTCAGCTCTTTCTACAATCCTTTCTTCAACAGTGTTGTCAGTGATGAGGCGGAACACACGTACTGGCTTCTTCTGACCAATACGATGTGCTCGATCCTAATAGAAAAAAAGTCTATTATAAGATTTTGGTATTCTGGATAAAAGGTAATATAGCCACCATCTACTATAAAAATCTGAAACCAAAATTAGTTCCTAATCTCTTTATACCTACAAATTTTGAAAAAAAAGCATAATAACTATAAAAGGTAAAGTCTTACCATATGACCTACCAAGTCCACTTCTGGATATTTATCAAAGAAAACGAAAATACTAATTCAAAAAGAAATATGGACCCCTATATTCTTTGAAGCATTATTTACAATAGCCAAGATATGAAAGCAACCTAGGTGCCCATCAATCAATTAGATGAGTGGATAAAGATGTGGCATATAGTTTTTTTAATGAAATATTACCCAGCCATAAAAAATGAACTCTTGACACTTGCAACAACACAGATGGATCTAGTGGGCATTTTTCTAAGTGAAATGAGTTAGACAGAGAAATACATTTATATATTTCACTGATATGTGAAATCTAAAAAACAAAACATAAATGGACTCATAGATTCAGAGAACAAACTAATGGTGACAGAGATGGGATGAGCAATAAGATGAAGGGGATTCCCCAACACAAACTTTCAGTTATAAAATAAATCACAAGGATATAATGTATAGCATAAGTAATACTAGGGACTTGGTGCACAAAATTCGTGCACTAGAAGGGAGGGTCCCTCAGCCCAGTCTACCCCCTCTCACATACTGGGAGCCCCCTTTGTGGGAGGTAACCAGGCTGATCAGGGAAAGGCACCAGCCCCATCACCCCACTGCTGCAGCCACTGCTAGTCACCATAGCTGCCAAGGTGTTTTCATCAACATGGACTCCAGTCTCTTCACCATGAAAAAATGACCAATTTCTTTAGGCATTTTCAAGATGTGTCTTTCATAGGATATGACTTTTTTTTTTTCACCCTCATCTGAGGATATGTTTCCATTGATTTTTAGAGAATGTGAAAGAGAAAAGGAAAGACAGAGAGAAACATCAAAGTGAGAGGAACACTTTGGTTGCCTCCTGCATGAGCCCTGACCTGGGCCTTAGCCAGGGAGGAGCCTGCAACCTAGGTACATGCTTGATCAGAATCGAACCCAGACCCTGCGGTCGGCAAGCCTAGGCAATATCTACTGAGCCAAACTGGCTAGGACATATGACATTTCTTAGCCCTCCAGCAGCAGACCCTCGTTTTTTTCTTCAGGAGTGTGGTGGAAAAGCCCTAGATCACCTTTTTTGATTCTTATATCAAAGTTACTAAGAATATTACCAGTGGCATACAGGGAGCTTAGCCAATGAGCGCTCAGAAAAGGTGTTTCCTCTGTAATTCACACCTATTGCCTCTAATCTCCGGCTCCACCCCTGCCAAGGCCTAAAGCCTCTGGGCCTGGGCAGAGGCCCCCAGCTTCCTCTGATTGCCAGCTCCGCCCCTCCCCAAGCCCCTCCAATCGCTAGCTCTGCCCCCCAGCTCCCTCAGATGCTCCGCCCCTGGCCAGGCCCCAAGCCTCTGGCGGAGGTTTGGGGCCTGGGCAGGGGCCCCCAGCTCCCTCTGATCGCCAGCTTCATCTCTGCCCAGGAGCCCCCTGGCTCAGGCCCTTCCCAGGTTGCTCAGGACCCACACAGGGCCTACCTTGGAGTGACCTGGGTGCTGAGAAAGTTCCCAGGACCCAGGCTGCTGGGGGCCTACATATGCAAATTAACCTCCAACTCTGTTGGGTTAATTTGTATACTCACTCTGATTGGTTGTGGGCACAGCAGAGATACGATCAATTTACATGTTTGTATATTATTAGGTATGATAGTCATCATTACAGCTTTGTGGACTTATCATACTGGTCACTTAATAGGGTATACAAATGTTGAATCACTTTATTGTATACCTGAAACTTATATAATACTACATGCCAACTATATAAAATTAAAAAAAAAAACTAGGGGTAGCTGAATGCTTCTTGACTAAGTTACTAAATAATTTTTAACCCACTAAATCCAAACACCTTCCACACGAGCAAGGACTTTTGTAAGTACGGAAAAAAGTATCGGGTCTAGTACTAATTAATGTCGTTTTTAAACATTCGTTTAAAATCTTGCTTGGCATTGACTTGTATTGACATAACCTTCAAACACGTGGTATCTACAGAACGTGTGAAGTGCAATTAACAAGTTTTGCTTGAAAAAGTTTGTGTTTGGTTTGGTTTTTGTTGCAAAACTAGGGCTAAGAAGATGGCGGATGAAGACCATATTCGGCACTGCATGCTTTACGAGTTCCAATTAGGAAGAAAAGCAAGTGAGGCTGCAAAAAACATCTGTAGTACTCTTGGTCAAGATGCAGTTAGCGCCAGAAAATGCCAGCGTTGGTTTGAGAAATTTCGCGAGGGAAATTTTTCGTTAGATGACAAGAGTGGTCGAGGCCGTGTGTCCAATTTTGATCAAGAAGCTCTTCAAGCTCTTTTGGTGCAAAATCCTCAAATTACCCAACAAGAGCTTGCGACAACTTTAAATTGTTCCCAAAAAACAATTTCCAGTGAATTGCGTGCACTTGGCAAAGTCCAAAAGTTTGGAAAATGGGTTCCTCATGAGTTGACCGACAACAACCGTAATCAAAGAGTCACAATTTGCAGTTCGCTCCTCTCTCGTCAAAACCGTTTGCCGTTTTTAGAGCAAATTGTTACCGGAGATGAAAAATGGGTGCTGTATGTTCATTTGAAAAGGCGGCCTCAATGGTTGGACAAAAATGCCCACGCCAAAACCTGACTTGCATGCGAAAAAAGTGATGTTGTGTGTTTGGTGGAATTTTAAAGGAATTCTTCATTATAAACTTTTACCATCTAAGCAAACCATTACAAGTGCAGTGTATAGTGCCCAATTGGAAAGGTTAGCCCAAGCTTTAAGAGAAAAAGAACCCGTGCTGATTAATCGGAAGGGCGTAATTCTTCACCATGATAACGCACGACTGCATACTGCAAGAATCACTGCTGAAAAACTGCGCCAGTTGGAATGGGAAGTTCTCCCTCAACCTGCATATTCTGATATTGCCCCTTCCGATTACCATTTGTTTCGTTCTTTGCAAAACTTTCTTCTTGGAAAAAAATTTAATAATGAAGAATGCCTCAAAAATGCATTGACCGAATTTTTTGCATCAAAATCACAAGAATTTTACAACAGAGGGATTAAAATGCTTCCTGAGCGTTGGGCACAAGTAGTAGAAAACAACAGCAACTATATTGTTGATTAAATTTTGTTGTATTGTTTAAATAAATTCGATTTAAAAAAGTATTAGAAAACGACATTAATTATTACTAGACCTAATAGTTAACAAGTGTTGCTATGGTAGCAAAAGTCAGCTTTATCTCATCATCAAAAGAGTTCCTTCTGGATTCTAAGGCAATTCAGAAATCTGTAGTAGAGTCATAAAAATTAATCGGATACTAATATCCTTACTGTATATTGGTCCTATGGTTTATAGTTGGTAAAACTGACAAGTGGCAAGTTCTGATAATATTAAAACATCCAGGGATAGTGGTTTTTAAAACACAGAAGCTGCTAGAGCAAATAGGTGAAGGCAGGATGGTAGTTAAGAAAGAAAAAAATCAAAGAAACAAAGTTCAAAACAGCTCTTGTACTAAATATAAAAATACCAGAGCCCAATTACACTTTCAGTACTGAAAGAGAATGCAACATCCCTACACATATTTTAAATTTCAAACTCAAATCAGGAGATTGTGAAACAGCTATACTATAACAATTTTATGGAAATAAAGGTCTTAATAAGTTTTCCATTTCAGTAACACTGTAACTTGCTTGGCTTACTCCTACTTAGTTATATCAAACAGGTAGTTTGGTACCATGCTAAAATAACAATTATGCCAAAGTATATTGATTTTCAAATGTCCCAATGGTCAATATTTTCAATTCTCTACCATAAAAAAATTAAAGACTTCTAAGCTATGCCTCATTGGCATATGACTTCCAAAGATAGTCTGTTATTTCATAACTTATTGGGCTTTTGAATGAATAACTCTTTTGAATCTTTTTACTTCTGAAATTATATTTCTATATCTATATATTGACAGAAGTTGTAGCTCTAGTTCAATAAATGATACCATGATGAAAGGTAAGAGAAATAGCTCCCTGAAAAAAAAATTTAAGGTAGAATAGTTTCTGATACTGTCCTTAGCAAATGTTTTCTTGGAATATTTTCCTTTGTTACCTTTTTACCTCCTCACCACAAATGTTTTATTATAAAAGTTAAAATTGCACTTCTCCCAACTTCAGTACTAAAGATTTTAATATATTTAATTAGTAAGAAGAATAATATTAAGAGACTTTTAACCCTCTTCATTAAAACATGCATGTGTTCTGTTCAAGACACTTCTTTTTCATGATAAAAAGCCAAAATCGACACACAAATGCTATAGATGGATTTGGGTATGTTTCTTTTCACTTCCTTTGTTTGTTTTTGCAGTTTGCACAATTGAAATATTGTTTATTTTCCAGGAGAATCTATTTTAGCATCTACATAAATTCCCCAAGATTGTTTTACCCTTTAATCATAAATTGTCTTGGTGCTATATAAATAACAATAGTATTCTGAGCGAAGAAAAATTTCTGATATCATTAAAGATTACTAACCATAGCTTGTAGATCAACCTGTGGATTCCAGTCTGAATCATACAGTATAACCACATCAGCACTGGCCAAGTTAATTCCGAGACCTCCAGCCCTGGTACTCAGCATAAAGATGAATTTGCTGCTATTAGGAGCATTAAATGCCTCTATTGCTTCCTTTTTTTTTTAATTGACACAGGAGAGGCAAGAAAAAGAGAGAAAAATCAGATTATATTACCTTAAACTAATTTTAACATGCAGACTCAAAACCCTACTTCATAATGTTCTCCCACCTTCTAAAATATAAACATTTAGCTATCTATATACTGTACTGTGTGAGTTACTGTAGGAAGTATATTGCATAAAATTCCTAATCTTTATGAGAGTACATCAATAGAGTCAAACTTAGAACACTCATATAAACAAATTTAACTAAGCAATAAATCATCTGAATTATTTTAAAACAATAATAGTGAAAATGTTTTAACTAAGTGAGAGCTGACTTATATATCTAGGGACAAAATGTCAGATATGTCAAATTCATTCCCATTAGTCTATGATGAATTAATAAGGAAGGTATAGTTTAGGAGATCTGCCAAGAAAGAAAAAGTTTTAGAAATGGGAATGAGAGCAACAGATATAGAAGGTAAGTAGATTTTTTTTGATATGGTGAAAAGGGGCAAACCGAGAAGTAATGAGGAAAATCAGGAAGGTAATCAAGGGATATTTAGTAAAAAGCTTTAAAAATTAATGGAATATTAATATCCTTACTATATAAAGATCTCATTCAAATTAATTAGAAAATAAATACCAAGACCCCAAAAGAAAAAAATGAGCCAACAAAACCACAGACAATACACAGAAAAACAATCACAAATGGCTAATAAACACAAGAATAATGTTCAATCCACTAGTAATCAAATAAATACAAATTAAAACACAATACCATTGTTTGAAAATTTTTAAAAAATGATAATACTCAATGTTGACGAAGGGGACGGTGAGACGGGCACTCTCATACATTGCTGCTGGGAGTGTAAATTGGTACAACCTTTCTGGAAAGCAATTTGGCAATATGCATCAAGATTCTTAAAAATATTCATACCCTTTGACCCAGTAATTCCACTTCTAGGAAATTATCCTAAGGAAATAATCAGAGACGTGCACAAAGATTTATGTATAAGGACTTTCACTTTACCATTATTTATAAATAGTGAAAAATTTGAAACGACCTAAATGATCAACAATAAGAGATAAATTATTCATAGTACATCCAAAAGATTAAATGTTACACTAAAATTATTTTTACAATGACTTTTTTACTAATACAGGAAAGTACAATTTGATGTTGAATAAAAAGTATCAGGATACTGAACTTTATATATAATGTACATAGTAGATAAATTATAATATTCTAATGTATATTTTACATATACTCTTATATTTATATATTCAATATATACATGACTATATTCATTAAAAGTTTGGCCAGAAATTCTTTTCTCTTCCAAATTTCCTTCAGCAATCGAATATTACTGTTATAATCACAAAATATAGGCAGTTACACTTTTCATGAATGGAATGGCATGGTCAAAAGTTGCAGGCAGAAAAGGTGACTCCCACTGCCAGTCAGTATAGCATGTAGAGAGGGCAGTACAGAAAGCAGCATGGTGTAGTGAGAGGCAAGTTGGTGTAGAGGAAATAGCAAAAACCTGGGCGTGAATCATAATTCTACCAGTTATTACATATGCGGATCTGAGCAAACATTTAACCTCTCTGAGACACAGTTTCAAGTACAGAAAAATTGCCAAGACTTTACTGGGCTACTGGACTAATTCAATTGGAACTATAAGTTGCCTAGCTTATAGCAGTAGTTGCTTGACAAATGGTAGTCCCTTTCCCTATAAAAGTGAGGATGCCAATTCAGTGCACATTACAGGAACTGAGTCAGAGGATAACCAAAGACTTAGCTGAATTTAACTGTATCAATGGAGAAAGCGCAAATCTGGAAACTATTGAGAAAGAATTCTTCATTATCAGCTGGGACATGATTAAAGTAGGGAATAAATATGGTCTTTCCCTTCTTATTGGGAAAATAATAAAAATGATTGAAATGATTGTGAGGACAACAACATAATGGAAAAGCAGGGCATTTCCAAAAAATAAAAAATGATCAGCTCTGACTTTGTTGTATCTAAAATCAACACATGCAATTTAAAGCCTCTGGAGGGAGAATAATATTTGAAATTTTAAGAAAACAAAAGAATTTGGGCATAATTAGGTAATGTCTATGATGTTTATGAGGAGGGAGATCAGCTAGAAATGCAAAATGGCTAGTTGAAATCAGAAAGCATCTATTCTTCTGCTTTGTATCATCTTTATTCCAGGAAGCAGGGTCATTATGAATGGTTCTATATGGTTTATGCTTAAAGTGGATTTGGAGAAACCCATTCTCAAGAACAAAAGGGCAAAAGCCCAATAAACCTTCAATTTACCATTTCAGAAAGAGTAAAATACTATAGAGCAGGGGACAGGGTAAGCTTTCAAATTTCCTACTATTGTAAATGTTACTGCAAGTGTTTCCCCAAAGTGGGCAGCAGGTAAACCCTTAATATGAAAAGGACCTGTGTACCTAGCCTATGCTCTAACCAGGCTTCAATGCAACATACAAGGGACAGAGGGTCCACCGCAGCTATGGAGGGAGAAGGCCATGTGCTGAGTCTTTGTGACCTAAGAAGGGGCCCCAAAGCTGAGAGGTAAAAAGGATTGTGTGCAATTTCATGACATGCGCTATAAACTGCACCACACAATTTAAAAACTGCATTCATACCTATTATATCCAATGGTCCTCACAACGTTGTCAGATAAAAGAAGCCTAGGTATTAATATTACCCTTATAATACAATTAAAGATACTGAGGCTCAGAGAATTAAATGGCTTGCACACACTACAAAGTGGTGGAGTTGGTGCTAAAATTCAGGTCTTCTGAAACCAAGTTCAATGCATTTTCCACTATACCATGAAATCACGATCTTTGCCCAGAGCATGAGTACAGACTTAAAACAGAGGCCAAAGACAGAGTCCTGAAGGATCACAGAAAAGAGAAGATAAATTAGCAAAGCCCTCCCCAAAAAAGTGCTTTAAAATATTTAAAATACATTAGACCCCTGACATTCGTGAGGAATAATCTAAGACCTAGAAGAATTTCCAAATATGAGAAAAAATACTGGATGCTAAGTAGGCTTCCTCACTAACTAAATGATTATTTTCTGCATATCAAACTTTTAGTATTCCAAGAGCCAAATGTATGATCAGCACCTATACCTATGTTATCCCATTTCAGTTTTACAAAATCTCTGTAAGACTGAGATTATTCCCTTTACAAATTACTATGTTTCTTGAGTCTTTAGGGTTGCTCATAAAGTGGAAAATCTCAATTTTAAACTCCACGAATGGTGAGGGTCTACTGTAGGAGGCAAATCGATTAAAGAAAATGACATAAAACCAGAGGTCAAAGAGTTAGTTAAGAAGCAGTTAGTAATCAAAAGGTCAGAGATAGCAATGGTTAGAGGAGGGAAAGATGCAATAGTATAGTATCCTTTAGATAAATGAGAATGTCTTTGAAGACCTTGAAAAGAATGATTGGTAAAGTGTCAGTATAACGGAAGCCAAATTGAAAATCTCAGAGAGAGAGAGAGAGAAGTGGCAGTGAGAAATTCAATCTAGCTACAAAAAAAGGGCAAAGTTCAAAACTCCTTAATGATGAAAACATGGCTAACTGAACTCTAAATTTTGAAGTCTTTATTTTCTCATCCTTACCTCTCTTTCTTCATGTGGGGTTTGTCCATCCAATCGACAATACTCATAACCACGCCACATACAATAATCCTCCAAAATGTCCAGCAAGCGAATCATCTGGCTAAAAATGAGGACCCTTGAACCTAAAACATTTTATCAAAAAATCAAGTTATTCAGCATGTGTAAAACTAATTTGAAAGTTTACAAAAATAAAAGTAAGCATCATATGAAATATAAATATATAGCACATGAACATTCCTCTAAACACACACACTTATCCACATACACACCTTCAAGGCGTGCTATACATTTGTGGAGGTGATCTAAAATCTGACTTTCTCTGTCCTGAGGCTGAGCAATTGGTTATAGTCTTCTAACTATTCTCTTCTCTCTAGTCTCTTCTCCTTAGCAGATTCCCCCATATTGCTTCCAAGGTTCTCTTCCAAAAAACAAGTCTGATTGTATCACTTACCACAGCCAAGTCTTCTCTGAACTGCCCTGCAACCCACCCTGCCTTCAAATAAGCACAAATTCCTTAAAGCATGTTTTAAAAGGCCTTTTGTAACATAGTCCCATCCACCTTCCCAGATTCATTACCGCCACTCTACCCCAAATACCATAAGCTCCACATTCCCTTCTTTCACACCTGTCTTCATTACTGTGGAAAACCCTTCTCCTGCTTTTCCAGTGGGTTACTTCTATACATTTTCTAGGGCTCACCTCAAATGTCATCTCTGTGATCACTTCCCCAAAGCAACAAATCATAGCACTTATCACAATGAACTCCAACTATTCCTCCTCACCACACTGTGAGCATTCAAGGCAAAGACTGTTTTGTGTGTCAATGCATCATTTTTACAACCAGCCTATAGGACAATTCCTGGCAAATAGTAAGTACTCAACAATGTTTGCTGACCGAATGAACAAATGAATGAATGATGAGTGATCTTGCAAAATGTCATCAATATTGTTATTTCCTGTTAATAGAACTTATAACTCACCCTGTTCTTTGAGTTTGGCCAACAGTTTATCGAGAACTACCATTTTACCACTGTTGCTGACAATGTGCTCATCAGTAGTATAAGGTGGACCAGGTTCAGCACCATCAAATAGGTAAGGATGATTGCAACACTTTCGTAGCTGCATCAGAATGTTTAATAGTCGCATCTTGTCCATCTTGCCAGCAGAGTTTAAAACATCAATATCTTTCATCAGGATTTTTGTATACCTAAAATTTTAAAATATAATTAATCATTGATTATGAAAAAGGTTTAATGCCATCAAAAATATCCCTTGGAAGGACAATTTAGACTCCTATTTAAAGATAAATAAGATATGAGTCTAGCTGGAGTGCCTCAGTAGTTGAGCATCAACCCATGAACCAGGAGGTCATAGTTCAATTCCAAGTTAAAGCACATGACTGGGTTTCAGACTCAGTCCCCAGCAGGAGGCATACAGGAGGCAGCCCATCAATAATCACTCTCATCATTAATGATTCTATTTCTCTCTCCCTCTCCCTTCCTCTCTAAAAATCAATTAAAAATACGTTTAAAAAAATGTATTTGATAGTAAATCTGATCAGCAAATCCAAGAAAGTAATAAAGGCTGAAACACTAACTTGTCTGTTGCCTATTAACCTGTTCCTCTACTTTTTTCATTACTAGAAATTGCAATCAGCTAATAACTATTCAAATAACTATATCTGATAATTATTCAATATACAATCGCAAGTTCTTATATCTAGCTTCCTAGATCATTTTTTCCTGATCCTATAAACATTTTTCATTTTCTTTTCTAGACCTTCAACCAGGCAAAAATAGACCAATGTATCCATCTGAATGGTAAGAATATTTAATTATAATAAGAGCCAATCTGTACTGAATGCAAGTGCCACATATTACATCACGGGCTTTATATGAATCATCTTGTTAAATCATCATTAAAACCCTGAAATTTGTACTATTATCACCCCCATTTTATAGACAGAAATTCAAGCAGCTAAGAGAAGTTAAACAACTTAGAGTTATAGAAGGGATAAAGCCAGAGTTTGATCATATGCCTGAGTCCAGAAAAATATATTCTTCACAACTACCGTATACTGGTTTAAATAGTAGAGAAGTCATTCTATGGTATAAATGATCTAATTTTATTTATATAAGCATCATTTGGTTTCTCTTAGCAACATTATTATACTACTAGAGGCCCGGTGCAAGAATTTCGTGCACGGGGGTGTGTATCCCTCAGCCCAGCCTGCACCCTCTCCAATCTAGGACCCCTCAAGGGATGTTTGATTGCCTGTCTAAGCCTGATCCAAGTAGGATCGGGCCTAAACGGGCAGTCAGACATCCCTCTCACAATCCAGGACTGCTGGCTCCCAACTGCTCTACTGCCTGCCCCTAACCATTTCTGCCTGCCAGCCTGATCACCCCCTAACCACTCTCTGCCATCCTGTTTGATGCCTAACTGCTCCCCTGCCAGCCTGTTTGACCCTAACTGCCCTTCTCTGCAGGCTTGATCACCCATAACTGCCCTCTCCTGCAGGCCAGGTCCCCCCCCAATTGCTCTTCCCTGAAGGCCTGTGTCCCCCCCAACTGCCCTTCCCTGAAGGCCCAGTCGTCCCAACTTCCCTCCTCTGCCAGCCTGGTCACCCATAACTGCCCTCCATTTCAGGCCTGGTTCCTCCCAAATTCCATCTCCTGCTGGCCTGATTGCCCACAATTGCCCTCCTTTGCAGACCTGGTCCCTCCCAACTGCCCTCCCCTGCTGGCCATCTTGTGGCAGCCATCTTGTGTCCACATGGGGGCAGCCATCTTGTGTGTTGGAGTGATGGTCAATTTGTATATTATTCTTTTGTTATATAGGATTAACATGTCTAATTTATGATTCCTTGTGATTCCTCTTTTGTTAATTTCCTGTTTTGCTTGTATTTATAAAACCATATGAACTTCTATTTTTTTAATATGCATAGTCATTGACATTTTCACTCATCTCATTATTACTGATTGTTATTATAGTTATTACTATTTCTACTGATGGAAAAAATAACAAATGTGTCTGTGACTTTATCCTCTTTAACCCTGACATCATCTTGATAAGCTTATTATCCCCATTTTAAAGAAGTGATACTGAGGTGACATAATTTGCTATTTAAGCTATTAAGAGGAAAAGCTCAGGTTTCAAACCCAAGTTTATGAACTCCAAGGCCAATGTCTTTCTCAAAGGTTAAATGAAATACTCACCAATTTTCCATTAAAATATGTGAGCTACTTAACTTGCCATTGAAACATACAATGTAATTTTTGAACTAAAGGCATAACTGAACCACTTCAAAGCTTATTTTTAATAACTCCTTATACATAAATTCTAATAAAAATAAAAAGCTCACCATTCTCGTTGCATTTTACTCAGTCCCAAGTAAATCTTTATTTCCTTTTTAGGAGGAAGGCTCTTCTCTACATCAGTTTTTATACGACGTAACAAAAATGGTTTTAAAACCTAAAAAGTTACAGTTTTTATAAAAGTTTATCAGACATTTCATATATAAACCTAAATTACACATGCATAATCAGATGGCACAAAATACAACAAAAAGTAAGACAAGATTATTAAATAAGTTAAAAGAAAAAAAAAAGCCTTAAAAACCTGCTGCCATATAAGATTTTTAAACCTTTGAAGAAGTCAATTTGGAGTCTCCAAAAGTGAAATAAAAATTCAGGAAACTTCAAAATGGTTAAGTATATGAATGAGGAGAAAATGGTCCAATGTTAAGGAAGATATAAATGAACAGAGAAAATAGATGCAATAATGAGTATATGCTTACAAGGAAGATTCTATCACAAAAAATAATAGTGCTACCATCTATAGAGTACCTGCAATGTGTCAGACACTGCACCATGAACTTCACACTGACTCCTTACAATAAATCTTTTAAGGAAATGTGATTATTTTAATTTTTAAACTATCACCAAAGTTACTTGGCCAATAAGTGGTAGAAGCAGAATTCAAACCCAGACCAAGTCAATTCTACAATCAACTCAGTCCCAGTTAGCTATCATGAGCTGGTCAATTTCCTTAACTCTTCAAAGCCTGTTTCTTCATCCATTCATCCAAAAATATATATATGGTGTGTGTGTGTGTGTGTGTGTGTGTGTGTGTGTGTATTTTTATACAAGCATTTTTAAATGGGAATAATGATACCTATTCCTAAATGATACCTATTCCTAAGGTGCTGTGACAATCTGTGGTAGTACATATGTAGAACTTAACCACAGCAGACATTACTAAACTATCAATATTATTATTAGAGATCAATGGGAGATAAGAAAAAGGGAGAAGTAAAAGCAGATTTCTGGTTTTTTATTTGGACCTCTTAAATTTGTCTAAGGCAGTGGTCGGCAAACTGCGGCTTGCAAGCCACATGTGGCTCTTTGGCCCCTTGAGTGTTCTAACACCACTTCTTCAAAATGGACTCGCCCAGGCAGAAAACCAACTTCTGCGCATAGGCCATGAAGTCTCAATTGCACTGTACGTGTGCCCCCGCATGTGGTTTTTGTGGAAGAGCTGCATATGGTTTGTGAGCCGCGGTTTGCCGGCCACTGTTCTAAGGCATATTCTTTTTAAATTTATTTTGTTGAATAAATTTATATTGTTGAAAGTATTACAGATGTTCCCTTTTATTCCCCATTGACCACCTTCACCCCCCTCAAGCCTTCACCACACTATTTTCTGTGTCCTTTGGTTATGCATATATGCAAACATATTCTTCGGTTAATCTCTCCACACCCACCACAGCCATCCCTCTGAGATTAATCAATCTGTTCCATGCTTCTGTGTCTCTGAATTTATTTTGTTCATCAGTTTATTTTGTTTATTAGATTCCACATGAATGAGATCATATGGGGAATTCTTGAGAGTTTAAACTGCCTGTAAGATATTTATGCAGAAGACTTAAAAGGTGGTGGATATATAAGTCTATACCTTAGGACAGAGATATGGAGAGATAAAATTGGGAATTAAAAGTGTATAGAGACCCAGTGCATGAAATCTGTGCATGGGTAGAGTCCCTATTGGCTTCTGGGATGCTTCCCTTCCTCTGGCTGCCTGCCTGCCACCTCCACTGCTGTTCCCTTCCCCCAGCAACCTGCCATCACCACCACCACCACCACCACCACCACTGTCACCATCATCCCCTGGTCAAACTTCCAATAGAACTCCCAGTTGAACTCCCAGTCGAGGGGTCAATTTGCATATTAGGCTTTTATTATATAGGATTATTATATAGGATAGGTGATAGCTGAAACTATAGGAATTTATCCCCAGGGAGAACATGTATGCATAACCCATGGACACAGACAATAGTGTGGTGAAGGCCTGAGGGGGGTCATGGAGGAAAAGGGGGACATCTATAATACTTTCAACAATGGAGATTTTTTTAAAAAAAAAAGAAAGTCAAAGGCAAAACCCTACAAAACACTAAATTTTGGGGAACAGAAAAAGAAAAACCCATAAAGGGGACTGAGAGGAGCAGACAAAGAGATAAGAGAAAATCCATCCTATACCCTAGAAATCAAGCAGGTAAGAATTTCAAGCAGGAAGAATGGCTAGCTGTGCTAAATAGTACAGAGAAGCCAAGATACTGTCCAAAAGGTGTACCCTGAATAGCACAACTTAAAAATCATCAAAGACTTGTGAGATAAGCTTCAATTGTATGGAATACATAGAAGCCAGTGGTCAGTGAATCCAGGAGTGAATAAGGCCCACCAGAGACAGAACAACCTGTCCCGAAACCTAACCAAGTTTGACATCTGAAGCCCAACTGTACTATGACTTGTATGACAAGATTCTTGAGAGATTTGTCTTCTATTCCTCTTCTACATTCTTACAATAAATGCCCCATTACTTAAGGTAACTTGTTTTCTGACTTGTTCTATTTTACTCTGAACAAATATTTATAGCATGATGGCTGTTGGGGATTCAAGTAAATGACTGCTTAATGAGTAGTTACTATGGATCAGGCACACAGCATATTGTGGTGGAAAACAGACATGGTTTCTGCCACATGAAGCTTATACATGGGGAGAAGTGGGGGTGGACAATACATTTTTGTTTTTATTTTTCAATTTGTAAAGAAGGTTTGAGATTCTCAGTAAAACAACTGACCAAAAATATAGCAAACATGCATCTGCATCCACTTCCACACAAAACTCCAATAAGACAATTTTTAAAAAAAATTAGAACTGTAGATAAAAATAAGAGTGAAGCCCTATCCTGTTTGGCTCAGTGGATAGAGCACAGGCCTGTGGACTGAAGGGTCTCGGGTTTGATTCCAGTCAAGGGCACATGCCCAGATTGCTGGCTCGATCCCCAGTAAGGGGCATGCAGGAGGCAGAGAATCAGTGATTCTTTCTCATCATTGATGTTTCTATCTCTCCCTCTCCTTTCTTCTCTAAAATCAATAAAAAATATATTTTTTTAAAGTGACTATGGCCCTTGCTAGTTTGGCTCAGTGGATAGAGTGTTGGCCTGCAGACTGAAGGGTCCCAGGTTCTATTCTAGCCAAGGGCATAGGCCCAGGTTGTGCACTTAATCCCCAGTAGGGGGCGTGCAGGAGGCAGCCAATCAATGATTCTTTCTCATCATTGATGTTTCTATCTCTCCCTCTCCCTTCCTCTCTGAAATCAATAAAGATATATTATTTTTAAAACATTTTAATAAAAATTTCATAACTTAAATTAAAAAGAGTGAATAGGGGATTAGGTAACAGGAATGGAGAAGATAAACAACTCTTTCAAGAAGCTTAACTATCAAGGATGAGAAATAAAATGAATCACTGAGAGGACACAATGTTGAGGGGGTACTGTTTTGTATGTGTGAGGGTTGTTAGCATAGGTGTAGATTTGGATTTAATAAATGAGATACCTGAGAATGTTAAGGGAAACAAACCAATATGCAGGGAGAGGTAGAAAATTCAGTCAGTAAAAAAGGATACATTATGGGGAAAGCTCCACAGGAAACAGGAAAAAATGAGATTGATGGTTAACATGGGAAGAATTAGGCATTGTCCAGAGAAATAACATCTGTTCCTCTCAGAGAGAAGGTAATACACATGCAGATACCTTGGAAGATGGATATCCTTGAAGAAGTTCCTACCCTAATGACTTCTATTTTCTCTTTGAGAAAAGAATATTGTTACTTGCTGCAAAAGGAGAGGGGGCATGGAATACCTGGGATAGAGGGGGCATGGAATACCTTGGGGAAGAAGGGGAGGTATGAAGTAGCTGTTATAGAAAACTATCGAATAGAGGCCCAGTACATGAAATTCGTGCACAGGGGCTGGAGGGGGTGTCCTTCAACCCAGCTTGTGACCCCTTGAGGGATGTCCCCTCTCCAATCTGGGACCCCTTGAGGGATGTCCGACTGCCCTCTCACAATCCAGGACTGCTGGCTCCCAACTGCTTGCCTGCCTGCCTGCCTTCCTGATTGCCCCTAACCCCTTCTGCCTGCCAGTCTGATCACCCTAACCACTCCCATGCCAGCCTGATTGATGTCTAACTGCTCCCTTGTCAGCCTGTTTGCCCCCAACTTCCCTCCTCTGCCAGCCTGGTCAGCCCTAACTGCCCTCCCCTGCAGAATTGATCGCCTCCAACTGCCCTCCCTTGCAGGCCTGGTCCCTCTCATCTGCCCTCCCTTGCAGGCCTGGTCCCTCCCAACTGCCTTCCCCTGCTGGCCATCTTGTGGTAGCCATCTTGAGTCCACATGGGAGCAGGATCTTTGACCAAATGGTGGCAGCCATATTGTGTGTTGGAGTGATGGTCAATATGCATACTATTCTTTTATTAGATAGGATAGAGGCCTGATGCATGGGTAGGAGCCAGCTGGTTAGCCCTGAAGGATGTCCCAGATCAGTATAGGGTTCCCTTGGGGTGTGCGGTGGCCTGGGAAAGGGGCCTGTGGTGGTTTGCAGGCTGGCCATGCCCCCTAGCGACCCAAGTGGAGGCCTAGGCTCGCCAGAGTGTGTGGAAAGCTTGGCTTCCTCTGTTGCCAGGGAAACCCAAGCCTCCCTTCTGGTAGCCATCTTGGTTGGGCTAATTTGCATACTCACTCTGATTGGCTGGTGGGTGTGATTGGTGGGCGTGGCTGGTGGTGTAGCAGAGTGGTGGTTAATTTGAATATTACTCTATTATTAGGTAGGATGGGAAAGAATGCTGTACAAGGCCATGGTAAAGAATCACTAGCCTCCTCAAATTCCAGCTTACGTTAGGGATCATGAAATCATGGTTCCAAACTGTACAGTTATATAATCTTCTTATTAGTGTTGAACAGCCTGAGTACAGAGTAGGTCACTCTGCTAATAATTGGCAGAAGCAGAATTTATACCCCAAGACAGACACATAGTTACATTATTCTAGTTTAGGGCTTTCAGGTCAGACATGAAAGATCAAGAGAACAAGGGAGTTTGGAAGTATTCACAAAAGAATGGTCCAAGTGTTAGAAAATGGGCTCATCGCTGGCTACAGATAAAAGTAACCACAGAAATAGGCTGATGGAGAGAAAACGCAGGAGTCCAGGACTGGAGATGTCTGTAAGGTAACAAAATAAGTACAAAAGGAGTTACATGAGTGAAAGTATTAGAAGGATATGAGAAGTTTTCAAAGAATGTAAAATTGGTGTTCATTAGATGTGAGGGAGTCACCTGGTTTTGAGCAGATGACAAGAAGAAATGAGTGGTGACATGAGCCTCAAAGGAAGAATTCTGTACATGAGTGGAGAAGCAGTGGCTTAGAACTGGCATTGGGGAACTAGGAGAATACCAATGTGCTCTTGAGGACCTGTGGAGAGTGGAGAGTGAACAGTCTCTTCTGGAGAGGACCACATTATCCATTGGGAAGAGCAGAAGCAAAAAAAACTATTCCATAGAGAGGCTGAGGAAACAGTACAGTTTGTTTCCCAAAGAGGCTGTCAGAAAGGTTGAGAGAAAGAAGTGATGAGACTGAGCCAAGAGGCAAACCCACAGTCCAAACAGATTCTATGGCAGTTTGTTTCTTGGCTTCCTAATCTGTATTTAATTACTTAATTTTCTTATCTGCTATTACTCACTGCGTGAAGTCTTTCCACGAGTTTTTGATCACCAAGACAGTTTTTAGTGTCAAACCAAGAATCAAAGTCCTATGGAGGTGAGAAAATTCTGCAATAAGTGCACAGGTTTGGGTTTTTTTTTTTTTTCACATAAAATCAATACTGTATAAATTTTTATACAATTGACATAGCAATAATTCATTTTAAAAGTTTCAGCCCTAGGTGGATTGGTTCATTGGAGAGAGCATCGGCCTGCAGATTGAAGGATCCCAGGTTCAATTCCAGTCAAGGACACGTGCCTGGGTTGGAGGCTCCATCCCCAGTGTGGGGTGTACAGGAGGCACTCACCCTTCCTCTCTGAAATCAATATATATATTTAACAAGCACTTTCAAAATATGTGAACTGTAATGGCCAATATTATTTACTTCTGAAAATAGAAAAATGCTGGAGCAGCTAACAAAATTTGAACTCCATTATACAGAAACTCAATCAGCGGTTTGTCCTTAAAACGATGTTATTAGGCTTCCTTTACCATAACAGCATTTTATCCAGTAGGGGTATGAATATAGAATTGAGGACATATCATTATATTTTCATCATAATGAAAATGCTAATCCAACAATAAAAAACAAACAAAAGCAAGATAAGGTATATAAACCAATGGGTAGCTAAACTTGGTACTTTTTGTTATTAATTAATATCAGTAATGAGGAAAATCAAGCTCAAAAGTCCTTAAATCATTCTATTCATAATCTTGTGTTAATGATAAAAGCAATATAAACCATACATTTACAAAATGCATTGTTTTCTAATCACATACTATGAGCTCCTTAGTATTCACCAAATGTTAATACCTACAATAAGCAACGATCATTTTAAAGGCTCTACCTGCCAAATCACTCTGCGGAAAGCCCCCCCAATTTGATTAAAAGAAAACTGTGAATGCACTGCTCTGAACTCAACCTATCTCAAATCATAAATTGTGGCAGCAATGTGATATAAGAAAAGTTTAACAGGCAGAATAATCTCAAGGAAGGAAGAAAAAAAACGATTTCTCTAAATATCCCTGTTTTAAATATTTGTACTTAATAACTATTTTCTGAGAAAACCTAAAAACACAGATAAAGAATTACAAAGAAAAAAATTATAAATTTCAATCTATAGTCTATGCTTTGAAGACATATGCCTGTGAACATAAGAAAAGTATACGTGCCCTAACCGGTTTGGCTCATTGGCCTGAGGACTGATGGGTCCCAGATTCAATTCTGATCAAGTAGGGGGTGTGCAGGAGGCAGCTGATCCATGTTTCTCTCTCATCGATATTTCTAACTTTATCCCTCTCCCTTCCTCTGTAAAATATCAATAAAATATATTTTTTAAGTAAAAAAAAGAAAGAAAAGTATACGTGATATATATGACTTAAACTTACCTCTGCAGAATTAAAGGCATCAGGCAATAAAAAGTTAAGTAAGGCCCAGAGTTCATGCAGGTTATTCTGCAAAGGTGTTCCAGTTAGGAGCAAGCGGTCAGTTGACTTGAATTCACGAACAATCTCTGAAAGCTAGAGAAATAATAGTTATGTTAACATTGTTTTATTTATTAGAATATTCAACATTCAGTCCTTTAACCAACCAATACAGATTTTTTAATAAAACAAAACTTAGCCCTAGCTGGTTTGGCTCAGTAGATAAAAGCACTGGCCTGTGGACTAAAGGGTCCTGGGATTCGATTCTGGTCAAGGACACATGCCCAGAGGGGGTTCAATCCCCAGTAGGGGGCCAGCGGGAGGCAGCAGATCAATGATTCTCTCTCATCATTTTATCTCTCACCCTCTCCCTTCCTCTCTGAAATCAATAAAAATATATTTTAAAATAATAATTAAAAAATAAAATTTAAAAAGTATTTTTTCTATGGAAAACATTCTAGTTCAGGTGACATTGCCTCATTAAAGCAAAGCTGAATAAAATATTAAACGCATTTCTACACTTACAAGAATGCAGATTAGAGTCATACCTGAGACCCTTCCCCCACTTCAAAAAATGTATTGTCTCCGTTTTAGGTTCACATAAACAGTCAGAACTCTGTGGAATTCAAGCTAGTCACTTTACACAATATCTTCCTCACCCTGTCAATTATGTCATCTACAAGCCTAGCCAAGTTTTAACTTGATCTGGTTGCAACTTTTAAGCAGCAGAGTTGAGCCCAATTTCCCTGTTATCTTACATTGACTTTCAAAATACATGGCCACACAAATGAAAGCACAAAAAAATATAAAATAACAGTAATCTTATAAATAAAAGTACACATCTTTAGAATACTCTCAAGTAAACAATTATTCTCTAACATGCATCCTTTTATCTAGTATTAGTTCTAATTTGAAAGAAGTATGATCCACCTAGTGGTTTTGCTCTACTTCTGTCCCTATTTCTCTCAAAGTAGCCCAGTGATCCAAAGAGAGGTTCATAATAATAACTGATGCTTTTCCTGTTGGTGGAGTTGAATGGCAAGAAATATAATATTTTTATGTTAACACCACACTCTAATTCACACAAGTCAGATAATTCCAAGAAATGACTTTTTCTAATCCAGATGAATATAGTTAAGATAACTCCTCAATAAAGATAAACCAATGCAAATGATATTTGCACATCAAATATTAACAAAATATCAAAATACTATTGCAGAACAGAGTTAGACTGCAACAGATATAGCAAATGAACACCCAATTTTCATTACATTAAAAGTGCTCAATTTTTATGTGTTTTGTATTCGATAATTTAAACTTTAAAACTGTTTAAAATACTAATTTTCATTCATATTCCATGAATAAAATCACAATCTTCCTTCAGTTTTTTTTTTTAATTTTGAATAGAGAAGTAAACAGACATAATAGTAAAATAAACCTTTAATAAAAATATTGAGAATTGGCTTACCTTAGATTTTTCATTTTTTATTCTGTGAGCCTCATCAATGACTAGGTATCGCCAATGAAACTTTTTAAATACAGATTTTTCTTTGATAACCATCTCATAAGAAGTAACACAAACATCCCACTCTCCTGGCATCATTTCATCACGAATAAAAGTAGCCTATAGCAAAATAAGATTCCTTATATTAGAGCAGTGGTTCTCAATCTGTGGGTCGCAATCCCTTTGGGGGTCAAATGACTCTTTCGCAGGGGTCACCTAAGACCATCGGAAAACACAAACATTTACATTATGATTCATAACAGTAGCAAAATTACAGTTATGAAGTAGCAATAAAAATAATTTTATGGTTGGGGGTCACCACATGAGGAACTGTATTAAAGGGTCTCAGCATTAGGAAAGTTGATAACCACTGTATTAGAGTATGCTGACAAGATTAACACACAATTAAAATATCAAAAGAAGATTAAAAATTCTAAGAAATTATTTGGACTCATCCATTTTAAAGATAGGAAAACTGAGGCACAAAGATACCTTAGTGTCAATTATTAGAATGGCATGCTAATATATTTATCCTATCTAATAAAAGAGTAATATGAAAAATAACCATCACTCCTCTACACCCACAAGCCATGCCTACCAGCCAATCAGAGCAAGTATGCAAATTAAACCCAACCAAGATGGCTGTGGCCACAGAGAGCAGGAGAAAGGCTTGGGTTTCCCCAGCAATAGAGAAAGCCAAGATTCTGCAGCCCTGACCAGCCTAAGCCTCCACTCCAGGCTACAAAGTTTCAATTATAGAAGGTAAACAAATCCAAACAGAAATGGTGGCAGCTACAGAGAGAGCAGAAGGCTCCACTCCAGGCTATAAAGTTTCAATTGTAAAAAGTAAATATATCCCAGATACCAGGGCCTCTGCTTGGGTCTCTTGGGTCGCTGGGGGATGTGGCTGGCCTGCAAACCACCAGAGGCCCCTTGCCCAGGCTGCGCCACGCCCCAAGGGAACCCCCATCCTGATCCGGGACACACTTCAGGGCAAACCAGCTGGCCCCCATCCATGCACCAGGCCTCTATCCTATCTAATACAAAAGAAATATATAGATTGACTATCACTCCAACACCCAATATGGCTGCTAACCATGTGATCAAATATCCTGCTCCCATATGGACACAAGATGGCCACCACAAGGTGGCCAGCAGGGGAGGGCAGTTGGGTGGGACCAGGCCTGCAAGGGAGGGCAGTTGTGGATGATCAGGCAAGCAGGGGAGGGCAGTTGGGGGCAAACAGGCTGACAGGGGAGCAGTTAGACATCAATCAGGCTGGCGTGGGACTGGTTAGGGGTGATCAGGCTGGCAGGCAGAAGCAGTTAGGGGCAATCAGGAAGGCAGGCAGGCGAACAGTTGGGAGCCAGCAGTCCTGGATTGTGAGAGAGTTGTCCAACTGCTGGTTTAGGCCTGATCCCACCAGGATCAGGTCTAAATTGGCAGTCAGACATCCCTCAAGGGGTCCCAGATTAGAGAGGGTGCATGGTGGGCTGAGGGACACCCTCCCACCCGTGCATGAATTTCATGCACCAGGCCTCTACTATATATAGAAAAGTCTAAGTGACTGTCACATATGAAACAACCAAACAGATGACTGTGTGGGACAACCATGCTGGAAGGGGTGTTAGTGAGGGACGACCAAATGACTGAGCAGCAGGCTGCATGGGGGCAACCAGGCCAGCAGGGGGGTTAGTGAGGGGTGACCAAATGACTGAGCAGCAGGCTGTGTAGGGCGACCAGGTCCACGGGGGGAGGAGGGGGGGGACAATTGGGGGTGACCAGGCTAGTGGGGGGGCCAGTGAGGAGCAACCAGGCCAGCAGAGCAGGGCAGTGAGGGGCGACCAGGCTGGTGGGAGGGCAATTAGGGGTGACCCAGCTTGTGTGGGAGGCAGTGTAGGGGAACCAGGCCAGCATTGGAGGGCAGTAAGGGGCGACCTGGCCAGCAGGGGGGGGGGGAGGTTAGGAGCAACCAAGCCGGAGGGCGGGGGAGGGGGTTGTGAGTGACTACGTCAGCAGGGGGGCAGTTAGGGGTGATCAGGCAAGCAAACAGGTGAGCAGTTAGGAGCTAGTGGTCCCATATTGTGAGAGGGATGTCCCAGATTGGAGAGGGTGCAGGCTAGGCTGAGGAGACCCCCCCCCCAGTGCACTAATTTTGTGCACCAGACCTCTAGATGATCACTAAAAGAGAAGCAATTGCTTCCCTTAAACAAGTACAGAATATATCACCAAAAGATTACCAAATTACTAGGCTTTCTCTTCATATCACAAAGGGTTCAAAAGGACATAGGCAAAGTAACTGCTTTCTGAATACCACATTTTTAGCAAGATCTAAGCATTACCAACATATTATAGTTTCAACAAATGGAAATAACTCAATATACATGAGAGATTTCAACCCTTTGAGAACTCTAGCAAGGACAAGTCATATATTTGGTTAAGGGGTCATAAAAGCCTATTCATGTTTTTGTGAACTTCCTGATGTTGTTATGAGGCTATAAATGTGATTTTATAAAGGATACTTGCTCTATCTTAGTAAGGAGCCCATTTTAAACTATTTTTAAATATTCACAGGCACTGGCCAACATGGTAGCCAATTAACTGATAGCACTTTTAACTTGTATGAACTGAATTCCAGATGAATGGGTCAGAATAAAACCACAGAAGTAAAAGGGAGCAGCAAAAACTATTTGATGGAGTTTATTAGTATTATACATATGAAATTACAGTGCATAAACAAAATTAATTATTCACTGCAAAGTCTTTACTTCATAAATTCACAGTTATGCACCAAAACACTGTGAACTCATTTGACAAATATTCACTGAGTGCCCGCTATGTATAAAAGGATTGCCCGGACTGAAGTAAAGAACAGAAAAAGAAAAGAAAAAAAAAAGAAAAGAAAAGAAAAGCCTTAATAGAAATCTCAGTTGCACTTTTCAAAGTAGTCAAGTTAAAGAAGTTAATTAAAATGTTTGGGAAATTAGAAACAAAAATAAAGGGAACCAGGGTGCCAGACTCCATTCAGTCAGTCCTGCAAACACTTATCCTTGTTTGATTTTGTGAAACACTCCGTTTAATGGTTCCTCTTACTGTTTCATGGACTATATGCACATTTTAAAATTTAAATTAGCTCTGCTTTGAAATTTGTTAACTACTTGAAAGATTTCAATATTTTGACAAAACATTTAAGATCACAAAATTCAAAAGCTCCCACTTTATAGGTGACAAAATTAAGGTTCTGCGAGATCTACTTAACATCATACAGTCATATCAAAGCCAAAACTAACAACAGATCTCCTGTTTCTATGTCCCTGATCTTTGATGCCTCCAGAGTGGAAAAGGAAAAGATCAAAAAATCATGTTTGGCAGAATGACCCAGGTTTCTTGGATTTTAACTGAAATGTTCAAAGAAGCTGCTAAATAATCTTTTTCAGACATAATTTTGTTAGGAGACATGGCCATAATGATCTTCATAATGGAGAAGGGCATGTAATAAGAACAGAGCTACAGTTTAATTGTTCACCTTACTAACTATAGATAAGAGGTTTTCTTACAGATCCTGGGAAAGTGGAGGATGAAACAAGGCCAAAAAAAGATAAGATGCCTCAATGGGTCCATTACACAGAAAAAAAAAAAAAAACATTTTGAGAACAGACCAAGGACAGGACACACTGATTGATTGCTGTGCCAGGAGCCTGACCCCCTCCAGGAGTTTATCTCAAGAACTGACCATTCTCAGGTCCTAGGAACTGAGCAGAGCTGTTTGTAACATCATAGAAGTTAGCCACCTTGTTATCAGACTTTGAGTTCCAATGAAGGCCTGACCACAGATGCTCCCCTCCTCTTTCTGTGACACTTGCAGCTCACAGCTGCAGAGTTACTTCTCCTTCATCCTATCTAATAAAGAGGGAATATGTTAATTACTGCCCCGCCCTCAAATATGGCAGTGCCCACAGCCAATAAGGAGGGAATATGCTAATTGAGTGTCACACCCTCAAAGATGGTGATGCTCACAGCCACAAGATGGTGGCACCCAGTCCCCTCAGCCCCGCCAGGGTGGCAGGCATGTGGCAAGGCTGGACCACTCCGAGTGCCTGCCTCCAGGGTCCCCCAGTCCCCTTTGCCCCCTAGCCACCCAGGGCCAGCTCGAGGTGCAGGTAAGCCTCAGATGGCAGCTGCCCAGCCACACAGGACCACCTGAGGCTCAGATAACCAGGACAGGCTGAGGCTTGAGCTGCAGGCAGTGGCAGCAGCAGAAGTGTGATGGGGGTGTCGCCCTCCCCTGATTGCCAGGTCACCTCCTGCCCCTGAGGGCTCCAAGACTGTGAGAGGGGGCAGGTTGGGCTGAGGGACTCTCCCCTCCAATGCATGAATTTTCATGCACCAGACCTCTAATGAATTTTCATGCACCAGACCTCTACTCACAAAGGGGATCAGATCAGAATTTCTAGAGTGACGGACTGCTCTCTCCATACTACTGACATTATTGGAATAAATGCTTATATATGATTTTTTTTAAAGCACCATGTTTGGGAATCACACCTCTATATACTTCAAGACTACACTAGCATCAGACAGGACCAGGAATATCTCTAATAATTTCCCAACTCAATTAAACACCTATTGTTGCCTACATCAAATTTTTATTACTAAAATATTGACCTCATATAATGTTTACAAAGGGCCAGGAAATCAGAAAGGCCCAATAAATCTTTCCCATGTGGTACCAAGGTTCAAATCTGTCCATACGTAATGACCTGGATTTTCTCTATACATACCAATATCAATGTGTAAGTGTTGAATAAGGCACATTAATTATAAGTGTATGTATATAGAAAAAAGCAATGTATATCCTTACTATGTATAAAACATTCTACTATTTCTATTCTATTCTATCTCAATGTTTTATGAAATTGTCATCACCACCCACTAAGATTAATTCCCAACCTTTGAGTGGCAATTTGAAAAATACCGTTTTGAAGGTTGGTTTTCAAAATTAAGAAAATGTTGAAGTTACCAGAAGAATTGCCAACTTCCCATGGGGTAAAGATAGGGCAGTCACAAATTAAATGCATCCACTCTTTCTTTACAAGTTATTAAGCACTTCAGAGATACTTCATAAACTTTGGATTCTGTATAATATAGTTGAAAATCACTGAGATACATTTTTACTGAGATATGAAAACACAAGCCTAGATATTTCTATTTTGCTTGTGATCTTCATCAAGATATCATTTCAAGATAAAGAATTCAATAATTCAGAAATACAAAGTTTTATAAGGAGTAATATAATATTAAATCAGCAATTTTCAACTGGTGTGCCCCAAAAATGTTTAAAACATTCGCTACCTATTTAGTCAGGAAAAACTAATCTGTTTTCCCTAAGATTGTCAAATTAAAAATAATGAATTAAGCAAAAAGACAAAAATTAATAATCAACAGCTAACACAACAGTAACCATCTGGTGTGAATGAATCAAAATTACACTTAGTTTTCTGTCAGATGGATGGGCAAAAAAACAAATTTTTTGGTGTACTGCAGAATTTTAGTAATTAGTTTATGTGTGCCATGAGATGAAAAAGGGTGAAAATTGCTGCATTAAATAAGTAGTGATTAGAAAGAGTTCTAAGTAACTAATCTGCTACTGGGAAATATTAGGCACAGGGCAAAATCAAGCCTATAATTCTAAATGTATGAGTGCAATATTTAAAATTATAAGTTAAATTTAAATAAATTTACGTCATTTTTTTCACGCAAAATAAAAAAATTACAGCCGAAACTGGTTTGGCTCAGCGGTGGAGCATAGGTCTGCAGACTGAAAGGTCCCAGGTTCGATTCCGGTCAAGGGCATGTGCGTTGGTTGCGGGCACATCCTCGGTAAGGCGTGTGCAGGAGGCAGTTGGTCGATGTTTCTCTCTCATCGTTGTTTCTAGCTCTCTATCTCTCTCCCTTCCTCTCTGTAAAAAATCAATAAAATATATATTTTTTTAATTAAAAAAGAATTAAATAATTCATTGTTACCATTCTTTTGAATATATATTTTGATTACCTATCTAAAATATGTAAAATAGGATAACTCTTTATATTCTAAACTATGTTCTCTGGAGGCAAAATAAAGACAAAGTTTAATAATATGCTTCCTAAACTGATTATTAATTTTTGTATTTTTGCACAATTGATTATTTTTTAAATAATTCTACACTCCCAAAATAAGTGTAGCCTAGATTGACAAAAGGCTAATTTAAATAAGATCTCAGAGTTTCATATCTAAGAATGCATGCAGACATACACTGAGTGGCCAGATTATTAAGATCTTTGAACGCATAATAATCTGGACACTCAATGTGTGTGTGTGTGTGTGTGTGTGTGTGTGTGTGTGTGTGTGTGTGTATTTGAGACCAAGTGCATTAACTTGTGCATGGATGGGGTCCTGCCAGCCTGGTCAGGAGGAGAGGACATGGGCAGTTGACTGGTCTGCCTGCTGGTCGAACTCCTGGTTGAGGGGACAATTTGCATATTAGCCTTTTATTATATAAGATATACACTGAGTGGCCTGATTATTATGCATTAAGATATCATAATAATCTGGCCACTCAATGTATATTTTTATATTCAATGACAAAAGCTGAAAGCTATGTCTACGCATAAACACAAAACACAAGACTCTCAATACAAACTGAAAAGGTTCCATTCATGTGTGTATACACATATGTGTGCATGTATACAAGTCAAAGTCAAAAGTCAAAAACTTAAATATAAAACCTTAAGTCATGCAAATTTACACATTTCTTGTGTCAAAAGAGCACAAATGATAGAGTTACTGATGAGATACACTGTTAATAAAATAACGTTTTAAATAAAAGGTCTCTTAAAAGTACAACTCAAACATACTTAAGTTAATGAGCTACTTAAAAGTAAATGCAGCTCTAATCAGTTTTGTTCATGGTTAGAGCATTAGCCCTTAGACTGAAGGGCCTGGGGTTCAATTCTGGTGAAGGGCTAGATCCCTGGCCCCGGGTTGAGGCACATGCAGGAGGCAATCAATGTGCTCTCATAGCAATGTTTCTGTCTTTCACCCTCTCTTACACTCTCCCTAAAAATCAATGGAAAAAAATATCCTCTGGTGAGGATTAACAGAAAAACAAATGCAGATAAGCAAAATAATGGACTGTTACTTAATCTATTATTAAGTAACACATCTACCACATAACAGTGTTGTGAGAATAAAATTAATATATTAAAAAGCACTGAAACAGAGCCCGAGTAAGCACAAATTAAGTGTTATTTAGTAGTAGTGGCCAACTTAAATGTCTTTATGGCAATGGTATGCAACTTAACCTCAGAAAGAATATTAGTCTTGATTGCCTTTTTAAACCTGTTTCTCACTTACTCTCGCATCCTTGTCTCCGACGAAACAAATAACACGAAGAGATGGGACCCATCGTTTAAATTCATTCATCCAGTTGTGTAAAGTAGACTTTGGAACTAAAACCATGTGAGGTCCAGGAATGTTTCGGTAATGTTTCAGGTAACCAAGCAAAGCAATCGTTTGTAAAGTCTTACCAAGACCCTGCATTATCATCACAAGGAAAAAAATATCCATGAGCATTTTTTATTTAATGAAATATTCTGTTAATAACAACATTACAAAAGATACTTGTCAACTATCTCACATAGGGAAAAGTTAAAAAAAAACAAAAACCTAAGAACTTACCATTAGAAAGTTGCTCAACAAAGCAACTCTCTATTTAGAAGATTTTAACTCCTAAACAGCAAACAATCTACTATGTAATTTTTTCTACTATTTTAAAATTAAGAATTTTGAGTGTGTATTTCACAAAGACACATTTATTTTACCAGCCTGCTTATATACCAGTCTTTCTTGCCTATTGTCCCCACCACTACAACACAGGCATGAAATATTCCGACTATGTATGTCAAGGGGCATGTGGCTCTGTATAAGTACCTTACACCCTTGAAGACCTAAGGAACCATAAAAGAACAGAACAGAACAGAACTCTTAAGCCATAAAGGATATTAGAGATTATCCAGTCCAGTGGACTTTTAAAAATAATATATTTACCACCAAGAATATACCACCTAACCATTGGAAAGGGAACAATGTCCTATGCTGTAGAGCCTTTTAAAACAACTTCTGGCTTTATCTCTATGCAAAGTATATATTTTCTTTTATAAACCTAAACCTAAAAGTTCTGTCTGCTTCAGTTTTCTATGCTACACATCAAAAGCTTAAAATGTTTGTACTCTTTAACCAAGTAACTCCACTTCTAGAAAACCTATGAAAATAATTTGAGGTATAGAATAAAATACAAGGGTTCGCATAATAGCATTATTATATAACACGCATGTACACGCACATGCACACTACATCAACTGATCCAAATGATCAGCAATAAGGGAGGAAATTAATAAAATTATGGTCAGTACCTCCTTATGATTATTATGCAGTAACTAATAATTATTCTTATTTTTTATTTTTTTAAATATATTTTTATTGATTTCAGAGAGGGAGAGGGAAAGAGAGATAAGAAACATCAATGATGAGAGAGAATCATTGATCAGCTGCCTTGTTGCATGCTCCCTACTGGGGATCGAGCCCACAACTGAGGATGTGCCCTTGACTGGAATCGAACCCAGGACCCTTCAGTCCACAGGCTGACGCTCTATCCACTAAGCCAAACTGGTTAGGGCTAACAATTATTTTTATAAAAAGGTTTAAAGTTTATGTAGAAAATACATATGAATTTGAAAAAATAAAAATACACACTTTTATATACACTACAATCTTAACTATGCAAAATAAATACATCTGAAAGGGGAAAAAAACTGAAAACAAATATGCCCAAATATTCAATGTGGTTATTGCTGGTTAGCAGAATTATGACTTACTTTTAATATTTTTCTTGTTTTCCCCCAATTTTTCTATACTCCTTAGAGTATCTTTCCCTTTTAGTTATTAAATCATATCTGGTGTCACTATAAATTCAATATGAAGACTCTTTAGAGTAGTTATGTAAATGAGTCTCCCTGGGATATATAGATCTAGAACTCCCCTTGTCCTCTCTTAAATTCCATCTTATTCCTTTGGACTTAAAATACCAATCTAGGCCTTTAGATACTCCCCTGATCAGCTAAATTAGCATATTAAATAGCCTTAATTTTTTCTTTTATTGTTTTATTTGTATGTCATTTCATGGATTACTTTCTGACTCCTTCCCATCTGGCACTCAACTGCCAAGATTCAACATTGTTCTTTACTATTTTCTTCTTTATTTCATCTATTCACTTTCTGGTTGCTCACACATGGAGATATTTACATTCATTCATGCATGCATTCATTTATTATTTGGTTTATACATTCATTCATTTAGTATTTGGCTTATCACTTCTCGGCCTTTTGGCTAAGATCAAGTGTAGTGTTTGGCTTATACACCCTGCCTCATTCCCCAAATAAATTCAGATAGCCTACAATGAAACCTCGTTTCAAGTGGCCTGTGATGAAAACATGGAACGGAAATTAATAGTGAAATAGAAATAAAGAGGGATCAAGGAAAATAAAACTAAAAGGTAAAGAATAGGATAAGGCACAAAGGGCACACAATAAGCAAACCATTAAAAATTAACACAGATGCTCCATTCTGGCATTCATTTAGCCTCTGAGCTTCCTGGAAGCCAAAGTACAAACAAAAACAAAAGTACAAGGTTTTTAATGCCCTTTGAGCAATTCTCAATAAGAATTTTGTGGCTAGCCCTGGCCTGTGTGACTCACTTGGTTGAGTGTCCTCACATGGACCTAGAGGTTCCCCATTTCGATTCCTGGTCAGGACACATACCCAGGTTGTGGGCTCAGATCCCCTGTAGAGGACGTGCAAGAGGCAGCCAATCAATGGTTCTCTTTCATGGATGTTTCTCCCCCTCCCTCCCTACCTCTGTTTCTCTAAAATCAATAAAAGCATACTTTTAAAAAAGAATTTTATAGCCAGTGACATATATGATCTAAAAGTTACTTAAAGAAACCATTCTTTACTTTATCAATGCCTATCATGCTATAATAACTAAATAAAATTAGCCTCCAGACCTCAGAAGGGCAGTTCAGCTCAGTTATTTCAAGTTAAAAAAAAAAAGTATTGGTAACTGAGAATGCATTTTTAGCTACCAACTCCTTACCATTTCATCGGCCAAAATGCCATTGATTCCATTTTCATACAAAGAAATCAACCAGTTCAGTCCTCGAATCTGATAATCTCTCAGTAGTCCTCCTTTCACATCTGGAAGAAAAAAAAAAACAATACCTCATACTTTCATTAATGCAATCATGTACAATTTTTCTAAAACCAAATTAGAAAAAACAACATGATGAAGTACTCACATGAAGGTGACACCTCAAACCTAACACACACGTTAGAAGTCTTCCGACTTTCTGAGAGTAGCTCTTCATCCTCCTCTTGCTCTGTGCGCCTGTGGCGGTAGCTGGGATGAAAAAAAAAATCTTCATATTCAACCCAAATGCTAAGGTGTCAATTAAGTCTGTATATCGATATACTGCTAATACCTTCTATGAAAAAAAAAAAAAGCAACGCGTTACCTAGGATCTTGCTCAACGCGTTACCTAGGATCTATACTTTTACTGATTAACTGCTAGTGAGAAAAAAAATATTGTTGCCTATGAAATACATTTGTACTAATAATAAACTTATTTTTTAAACATTAGATTATACTTAATATGTGAAGAGGGAAGGAGTGTATGAGGAGAGGGAGAAGGAGGAAGAGAAAGAGATGAAAGTAGAGAGAGAGAGATGTCAACATACTCTCCAGCAGAAATTAAGCTCTGCTTGTCCTCTTTCTTTATTTGAGGGCGTCCCAATTTCATGTTTAGAGGAGATGTTGGAGATTTCTGTGCTGAAGGTTGAATGAAATGTGCAAAAAGTTCTGTCTGCTTCAGTAAAAGTTCAAATCTCTTCACTCGGTCTGCTTTCTAGTTCACAAAACAAAATAAAAAGTAATAATTTTCTTTTTTATTCATTCAAATTTATTTAATAAATACTTATACTGTACTTACTTTGTACTGTTCTAAGCTTTAAACATACTAACCCATTTAATTCTCTTATAAACCTATGAGATAGGTACTAGTATTTTCCCCTGTTACAGATGATAAAACTGAGGTACAGAGAGAGTAAATAACTTGGCTCAAGCTCCCATAACTAGTAGGTAGCAACTCTGATAATGGTATTTTCAGATATTTTGAATAGAAGCCAAATGATCTGCCAGACTTAGTAAATACCCCCAATAAGAAGTGTTTAAAGAGTTGTTGGCCAAAAAGCAAATTCTCTTACCGAACCATAATGATTTTATTTTCTTGAGCAGTTAACAAAATTATCATAATATATAATGTATCCCAGATATGGAAATATAAATTAACCATCATATATATATATATATATATATATATATATATATGTAAAATAAACTGAACTCTTAAGAATTTTCAAGCTGCTTCTAGAAATAACTGTAATCTTAGAATCCAGGGTCACCTTGTCTCAAAACATTTTCAATGGTATGGTACAATAATGCAATAAACATTTTTCTCTTCAATTACAATGATCTGGAAAGTTATGTTTTATGATAACAGTATATAAAGTTTCCCCAAAAGTGAGCAGGATTTGTAGGAAAATACACACACACACACACACACACACACACACACGAAATAGTATATTTACTACACAAAATTGATATATATTATAATTTCTCAATACATTATAAAAGGTCATAGAACTTGTACCATGTAAATGCAATAAAACTCTTTTCACTGAAAATTTTAAAATTCCAGATAAAGAAAATAATTAAGATGATTTTTTATTCAAAGGGTAGAGAATATTTTATTGCTAATCAAGGATGCATAATTAATAACACCAGAAACTTACAAGAGATTATTAGCATAAATACAAGAATTAGACAAATATATTCAGACCGGTAGCTGGAAGGAGGCCAAAACCTTTTCATTTTTTGTTATCCTCACTGGAATGTTGTTTTTAAAGATGTTAAAACATTAACTGTTTGTTAGCTATAGCCTTAAACATTAAGGAATGGACTTTTATAAAATCACTATGAAGCACCAAAAAATGTACTTCATCTCTATTTATTTTTATAATATTACTGCAAAAAAACAACCCCTCAACAACAACAACAAAAAAACTCAGTTCCAACTACCTGTTAATTTCTCTTTAAGTCTATCAAATTCACTGGTCTTAAAAAACCCCAAGCATAAAAATATATAGTTAAATTAAACCTAAAATTTGGATTTCAGTGACTAAAAATTAAATAATTAAATGTAGAGCAAAGCAGATGAGCATAAATTAATATTATATTGCTTAAACAGGTAATATTTTCACACACTGGGAAATATCCTGACCTTCAGAAGACATATTACCATATTATATGTTTCATAATGTGTAGGATTCATAAATCCAAAGCAATGGAGAGAGCAAAAAATATGTCTGGCTTTGTGACCTGCTTTCTTTCAGCCATATTGATATTGACACAGGTATTTTCACTTAGTGGATAAAGTACTTCTAGCACAAAACACCTTATTATGGGGTAAAGAGCACTGAACAAAAATGAATAGATGTGGATTCTAATCCCAAATATTCCATAGTTTCTCTGCTCTTTTATTTCTCATCTGAGAAGGATGTGGTTTCTAGTCCCAAATATTCCATATAGTTTCTCTGCTCTTTTATTTCCTCATCTGAGAATGTGGAAATTCATTTATTCAACAAAAAATCCAATTCTAAAATCTATGATTCTGTACTCATTATATGTACACATGTATTGTTTTAAATCTTTCACTTTTCCTCTATAAAAATCAACTACAGTATTCGCTATCCTATCCAATAATATATTTACCATTTTCTCTTCATATTCTGGGTTCATTTCCTTTTCAGATTTAGAAACTTTAGCAGCTATTTTGAGTTGAAATGGAGAAACGCTTTTCTAGAATTTCAAAGAAAATAAATCATCAAATTGCAAAGCAGGGTCTTTAAAGTGATCAACATTCTCATGTGAAGAAAATAAAAATTACTTAAATACTAAATAAATAAGAGCCATGCATGGACCAATGATGACAGCATGTTATGAATCAGGGCTTATGATTAATCCAGTTCTGTGCACCTGAAGTCCAATTTAAAAAATCCAAAGAATTGTGAAAGCCAGAGCAACAACATTAAATAAAAGCCAAAAGAAGAGCCCTGGCCCCCTATGGTTCAGTTCCTTGACCACCATCCCATGCACCAAGAGGATGCTGGGCACATGTCCTGGTTTTGGCTCTATCCCCAGTAGGGGGCTTGCAGGAGCCAGTCAATCATGGTTTCTTTCTCCCCCCCTTTCTCCCTCTATCCCGCTCTTCCTCCCTCCTTCTCCCTCACTCTCCCTCTACTCCTCCCTCTACAAATCAATAAAAACATATTTAAAAAGCAAAATGAGAAACATTGAACATTCTTGCCTATTTTTTTTTCATTTAAGGCACAAGAAAACCTAATCATTGAATAAAAGATTTAAAGTCTAGAATATACTTAAAATAATAAAATAATAAATCTAGAATATACTTATATTATCAACCACAAGCCAAAGAATTCAAGGAAAGTAAATATTGATACTAACACATTATGTAATGGAAAGAAACCAGAGTTTCAAAAGAAGAAAAAAAAATGTGGTTTCTGTTCCTGAAAAGACATTATGTCTTATTTCCATATTTTAATTAGTATATTTAAACTTTTTCTTTTTTAATATATTTTATTGATTTTTTTTTTTTTTACAGAGAGGAAGAGATAGGGATAGAGAGTTAGAAACATCCATGAGAGAGAAACATCGACCAGCTGCCTCTTGCACACCCCCTACTGGGGATGTCCCTGCAACCAAGGTACATGCCCTTGACAGGAATCGAACTGGGGACCTTTCAGTCCACAGGCCAACGCTCTATCCATTGAACCAAACTGGTTTCGGCTAAACTTTTTAATGTAATATGATTGATCATTTATATTTAAAATAATTAACTAGTACAGTTTCAAACTTTTGGCTTATGTTTTCTCCAAATGGGAAAAAAACTATTTTAATTATTTATATTACATAAATATTTTATAGAAGAAGTTTTTCAGGGCTATTAACTATTAACCTTTGGTATTTAAAACGTTGTAATTTAGTGAAAACTAAAAAAAAAATCAGCTTTAATTTCACATAAAAATACTGAGATTATCTGGGGGCTTATCTCATTCATTCTATGCTTTGTAAAGACAAGCTTGTACTTGTAAATATAAATCAGTATATAGAATACAAGTCCTTCCCTTCAAGAAATCAAGAAATAAAATAGCAAAAACACAAATCTACATATTAGTACCAAATTTGAGAGTATTTCAATTTTAACACAGACTACACAAGTCAAAATACAAATCTGTTTGTGAAAACTAAAGGAATTATGTTCATTTTATGTTTTTTTTCAACCTTTTCCAGAAAACTTAGATCATCAATCAAAAACAGAATGTAACCTTAAACATAAGAAAAACATGGCTCCAGCCCTAACTGGTTTGGCTCAGTGAATAGAGCATCAGCCTGCAGGATGAAGGGTCCCATGTTCAATTCCAGTTGAGAGCATGTGTCTTGGTTTTGGGCACATCCCCGGTGGGGAGTGTGCAAGAGGGAGCAGATCCATGTTTCTAACTATCCCTCTCCCTTCCTCTCTGTAAAAAAGAAAATCAATAAAATGTATTTTTTTTTAAAAAACAAACATGCTCCAATATTTAATGTATATATATTCCAAAATTTACTAAAATTTCTATTCTATGGAAATCCAAACTGAAATCAAGAGATCTGATCCTGCTGAAACCGGTTTGGCTCAGCGGTAGAGCGTCTGTCTGCGGACTGAAAGGTCCCAGGTTAGAGATTCTGGTCAGGGGCATGTACATTGGTTGCATCCCCGGTAGGGGGTGTGCAAGAGGCAGCTGGTCCATGATTCTCTCTCATCAATGTTTCTAGCTCTCTATCTCTCTCCCTTTCTCTCTGTAAAAAATCAATAAAAAAATTTTTAAAGAGATTTGATCCTGCTCATGGTTCTACTTTGGATTACTGATCTGATATTGTTGTTATTCTTAATCCAAATAACAGCAATCTTGATTTACAGCATTTTGTGTGTGTGGGTGTGTGTGTGTATCTGATCTTATCCATCCAGGATTACATTCAAAACACTATATTTTGAATGTAATCCAGGATGGATAAGATCAGAAAACTGCTAAAATCCCCTCAACCACACACTTTTAAAATGACATAAACTATAAGTTCTTTTGTATTTTCAAAGCGACAAGTAAAGGAAAATTGGATAACAAACCCAACATCTTTATTATTCCTTAAAAAGCTATATGAAGTCATTTTCAAATTTCAAAACAGTGAAAATTACTTTACCTCATATATACAAATAATGTGGGATCTATAAAAAGAATTAAGGCTTTAATATTAGAAAAACATTTTACTCATTACTTCTTTTGTGCTTACCTTGCAGTAAAATACCATAAAATTTTAATTATATGCTAATTAAATTTCCTAATTTTGAACAGTGCTATTAAAAGATGTGGGCAATTATTTAATTGCACTATCTTCCACAAGAAATTCTAAACCTACCCTCTACAGCTTCTTATTTGTGTATGTGTATGTTTTCAAAAATATGCTTCTCATACAGGAAAAGGTAAAAGGTGACTGTGCTATTCTAATAAATTCCTTATGGGTTTCATCATCTGGTGATTGAGATGTCATGAGAATGTAGCTTAAGGTCATCAAGATGCCCTGTCTTAAAAAACCATGACCTTTTTCTTGATGTTTTTATTACCAAAATACCAGCTCCAGTTTAGATTACCTAACAGTGAAGTTATCCAGCTATCACTTACATCAAAAAAAAAAAAGTTTAAAAACCAGAAGGTAAGCAAAAATACCTATCTTCAAAAAAGTTGAAGAACCAGAAGATAAGCAAAAATACCATCCATAGCTAAATGTCAGAAGTCAATCCACTAAATCTCATCTGCTTTATGCTTCCTGAAAATGCTCTCATTGAGAGCCTATTTTCTTTTATTTGATATACAATTCTTAGCAAGCTTAATAATCTGGCTTTCCAAAGTACAGAGAATAAAAACAGCAGCAAATGACATGAGAAAGACCACTAGAAGAAGACACACTGTCAACAGTAAGGAGGCATGGCAGAAGCCCAGAACTAAAATGTGACTTCCCCCACAGTTATGTCCCTTTTCCTTGGTGTTCAGGTGTAACTATTTCCCTCTCCCTGCTGCATTAATTGTATTTTTATTTTTATAGATACTTTCAATCTTTAACATCTACATCCATTATCATAAAAAATTCTAATGAGGTAATTAAAAAGTGATAGCTAACAGCCTGACAATTGAGGGAGAAGGCTGAGAAATTATTGAAAAATCAACACAATACTGAAAGTGTCTGGGAGGTGGTGACTTAATTGAGGGAAAACAACCTCTTAGGTCTCTAATGCCTTTGTACAGAGTACAATAATTGATGGATATAAGGAAAAGGCTAGTTTGCACTGTTAGTGGACCATTTAAGGAGTCAAGGTAATGTGTAATATATTTAGTTTAGTTGAAGAAATTGTATAAATAAATTTTAAAAACTTAAGTATATGTTTTGGTACTATTTAAATCTCAAGAAAATTTTAAAAGAAAAAGAAAAAGATGTAATGAGGAAAGTACTAGTAACCTTCAAATACCCAGAAAGTTCCTGCCATGCAGCACCTCACTTCCCTATGCTGAGTGGACAAATAAAGTTCCATTATTAAGGCACTTTCTGATGAGGCTACAGATCTCTTGAATATATATAAACTCAGTGCTATTTTAATTGATTCCCATTCTTTTCACAATTCAAAAAATGTATTCAACATGGAAATTCAGCAACATTTATAGTCATACAAAAGGCAGTTTAGCAGTTAACATTTGCCCCGTCTGGGGAATAAAAGACACCTTACATGGGTTTCTGAATTTCCCAACATTTGATTTATATTGACACTTGGTATTTAGCCCAGCTTTAATCATCAATATTGTCTTACTGATCCAAGTATCGCATGGATCTTAAAATGCATATGTTTTCTACAGATTTTAGCACTACAATTGTCTTTCTTTTTAGTCAACCTTGTAACAGTAAAGTATGTCACTTAAGCAACTGCTGAATTTAAAATTATTCTAATTCACAGGAAAGATGTAAATGTCCCTCAAAAGCTTTTCATTTGGTCGTAGTCTGATATAATGATTCAGACAAAGCCACTTGAGATCTCTTAACCATAATTTTAATTACCCACCGTTTTTTAAATTGTGATGTCTATTCATAAACGGGGGGAAAATCCACCCATAAATTATCTATCCTACAATGTTGTTATACATCAAAAATCCTTATGCCCCATCCTATTTTTATTCTGCAATTCCTTTTTATTCCTTTCATAGTTTTATTTGCAAGTCTCGATCCACATGAAATATGCCTTATGGAGATAATACATATTTTCTGGATCTGGCTTTAATACGTGTCTGAGCAGTCCCCTCGTGCATATTAGCAGCAGCTCATCCTGGCGAAGCTGGGGGTTTTTTAAAAATTAACCTGCCTGTGTCCAGGAGCCAGCAGCGCCTACTAGGAGAGGGAGAAAGAAGCCCAAAATGCTTGGGGCCGGAATGGGGGACCATTTGGGTGGCCCTGGAGTGAAACACTATACCGTTGGGGGCGGGGCAGGAGAGGGTGAGGGTGCACACGTTGGAAATTTTCCTAAGCCCAGCGTCCAGGGTTCCTCAGTTTGGGGTTTGAACTTGGGCGGGAGGGGGTCCAGCGCGGAGACCTCCTTTTCTCGGGGTGACACCCCCCACTTCAGCAGGCGGGGACCCACAGAACAAGGAATGTGCCTTTTCTCCCCTGCCACCCAAAAGGCCGACATTGCCAATCGGAGCAGCAAAAGTCTCCCCGAAGGAACGTCCTCTGCCTCCCAACCACTGGCACCTGGAAATTCAAATTTGAAAAAAATAAGCCCCAGCAAAACCCCTTTAGCACGAGTGTGGGATTGAAGGGCCGAGATTTCCCAGGCAGAGGCCGACGGGAAGAGGGGGAGAGGGAGCGAGAGGAGAGAGAGAGGCGGAGGCTGGTTCCTGCACGGCCCCATCCCCCACCCCGCGCGTTACCCCAGTTCCGGGAATGCGAAGGGGGCTGGGGGCTACCGAGGGGCTCTGGAGCCCCCCCCCCCCCAGCCCTGGGATAACGGCGCCCTGCACCCCGCGCGGCGCCCGCGCCCCAGCCCCGCCCCCGCCCTCCAGGCGGCGAGCAGGGAAGGGGGAGGGGAGCGAATGCCAGAAACTGTGCCGCCGCCCCCACCCCACTCTGCGCCTGAGACCCCCATCCCCCCAAGCTCGTGGGTACCTGTCGGCGCAAAAAGGTCGCCGTCTGGGGCCCCCTGAGTGGCCGGCACGGGATCTCTCTCCACCCGTCCCCCCTTGCACACACACCCCCTTCCGATTTACCTCCTCGCTTTGCTCCGTGGCCACGGTGGCTTCGGCGGCGGCGGCGGCCGCTCCCTCCTCCTGAGAGGTGGACGGTCCCTGCTCACCCTCCACGACCACGATCTTGGCGGTCGCATCCGAGGCTGCCCTGGCGGCTGCCACTGCAGCGGTGTCCTGCTCCATGGCCTCGGAGCGGGAAAAGCAGACACGCGAGGAGGCGAGGAGTGCTCCTGGGCGGCGGCACAGGCTGCGCTGCAAAGAGCTAGATAGAGCAAGGGTGGGGAATCACTCCGCTTCCAGCCCCTATGCTCGGCCCCCCTTCTTTAAATAACCCTCAACCCTGCCCCACTTCCGTCCACCCACCCTACGTCATGGCCTCCCCCCGCCCGCCACCCTCCCCTCTTTTCCCCACCCCCCCCTCAACGATCGCGAGACTCCCCCTCCCCACTCCCAGCCCAAGCTGGCCCCACAAGACCAACTGTTGCCTGAGTGTGGGGCACGGACCGGGAGTGGAGGCGGGAAGCCACAACCTCCAGCCCCCTTCAAGTCTCCATTTCCATAAGCCCCCAACAGTCAGCCCGAGCTCCCCTCGCAGATGTGTGCACAAGGAATCCTCTTTCCCTTAAATCTGCTCTTTGTACATCGAGGTGCTTTCCCCTTCCTGCACAAAGAACTTTTCCTCTGTTTATAACTGTACTGGCGGAGGTCTTTCTCACCATTTGCAAAAGCCAGATTCTCCTCCCTCCTTCCCTCCTCCTCTGCCAGGACTGCCCTTTCCCAGGTCCAAGGGGCCATGGATCGGTGCACATTCTGTACATTCTGCACAAGGAAAAGCACTCCTTGAATCTCCATTGTAGCGGCAAACATACCTTCCAAGGCAAAAATGACTCTTGAGTTTTACGCATATGTGTTCTATTTTCAACTCATACCTTTCAGATGGCCAATATGCCTTTCTTTTGCCATAAACGACTGAATTGTAAAAATTCTGGGGGCAAGATCAAGGTCCCCATAGAACCTGGGCAACTCATGGTAAGTGCCTAATATTAGTAAGTAGATTGAATTACTGTGATTTTTTGGCATGTATTATATTTGTATACTCATTATTTAGTAATAATTCAGTGCCAATAATATACATGATCACGAATATAAAAGCATCTTGTAAAGGAGGCAACAGTGTGAAAATATCAATTATTAAATATTACAGTTTCTATTTCTCATTGCCCTTTATTTTTATCAATAACAGGGAGATTTACCTCCTAGTTTTTAAATTTCAGAGACAAAAGAGAGCAAAACAACAGTCACAAAACCTATAATTTCCAAAATGAAGCAAATACTTTCTAAAGTGTAAAGAAATTGTGATCAATTTCCCTCAACACTCCTTGGTAAATTACCAATTTGAAATCAAGTGTGAATTCTGCAAAATGCAGAAAGGCACACAATTGCTGGCCCCCCTCAAATATATCCGCTTTTTCCTGGAGATAATACCTTAAATTCCTTTTTTGTTTTACAGTTGTGACTCTTAATATTTAAAAAAAAAAAAAGTGTGACATTTTAGCTATTATTGGTCATTTACACCTTACTGTGAGTGAAATCCTGTCCTGGGACTGGTTTTGCAGAGAAAATGATATGAGCAAGACACTGTTGATTGAAGGAATGTGTCACTGATAGGTAAAGGAGAGGCTGGTGGCGCTAGCTAGCTTTGCTCTGATTATACTTTTATTGTGTCCTCATTTACTTTATTTTTTCTCATTATCATTAAACCCTCCCCCCCCATGCCCTATTCTATCTCTCCATCCCCCTCTACTCTGTCAATCACCACACTGTTTTCCTAGTCCACAGAGAGCAGGCAGAAAGCTCTGGGGGAGGTCAAGAGAGGGGGTGGAAGGATTGAAAAAAACAAAAAGAACTTATTTACTTTACACCTTCCCCCTGATGCCCTTGTTTCTCATCCTGAAGTACACAAGCATACTGTTCCACAGATACAGTGAGCATCAGTATAAAAATGGTTCATATTTTTGGAGCATCAACTTTAGTCAAAAAGTAGGATGGAATTAACTCATTTAAATGATTGTTTTTAAACACTTTTTTTTCTATTAAAATGTGCAGATGTGTTAAGGAATACACAGCACAGTTTGAAGTTTCTCCAAATAAAATCTTAAAAGACTTCCAGATAGACATTCTACCCCTTCCCCACTACCTATTAAATTAACTTCTCAGTCATAAAGGGTTCTTTGATGAGAAAGTTCAAGAAGCACTGAAAAAGAGGGATGCCGAAATGCATGCATCCACCTGACTTGAGAACGACCCTTCCAGACAAGGACAGTGGAGAAATTCTTTTTCAGCAAACAGCAGCTATGGGAGGACTGAATTCCCTTTTCATTGCCTAAGGCTTCAAAAGGAAAGGCTCAAGAAATATTTTTTGTGTGTTGATGTGTTGCATTCCATTGTATTTGTCAGGGCCAATGTGCAGTATTTCACTTACATCATGGGCTAAATGTACTCTTATGAGGAAATCTGGGAAAGTCACTTCCTTTTATAACTCCTTTTCTGTGTGAACATGTGTTCCAAGTTCCAAAACAAAACTTTAGAAATTCATTTTTTGGGGGGTAGAATATATTTGTACATTGGCAATTTTCCATGTGATCCTTTCTTTTCAAGATGACATGGCTGAAAGTGCTACCAAGTCTATGAGTTTGGCTGGAAAGGTCAAAGCTTGATCCATAGACCTTGAGACAGGTTTCATGTAAATATTGCCCTTTGGCTTGTGGCAACAGCTGCTATTTACAGAGCATGTGCTACCTTATTTGCAAATCTGCCTAAAATTCATGATCTGTAGACTTTGTTCAACAAATCACCTGGAAGGGATTAAGAAGTACAAATTGGTAGTTACAGAATAGCCATGAGATGTAAAGAACAGCATAGGGACTATAATCAATAATATTCCAATAACTAGGAGTGGTACTGGACCGGTGCAGGATTTCTTGGGGTGATCACTTATTAACTTATGTAATGTCTGGTCACTGGGATATACTCCTGAAACTAATATAATGATGTATGTCAACTATAATTGAAAATTAAAAATGATTTTAAAAAGAACAAGAGTCACCTGGGTTCTGATCCTTCTCCACACCTTGCTCTATCTGATGCTACTAGTATTTTGGTTTCTTGTCTTTTCATTTGACATGGTCTTTAATTGCTCTGCCCCATTGAGGTTGAAGAACAAAGCAACATTTTGTAAAGAATCTTGAAGCCGATCATATTTGGGAGCCTCAAAATGAATCCGTCTACTGGACAATACATCCATTCTGTCAGATTGTGGATATTGTAGAAGTTATCCAATGGTCATTTTTCATAGCCAAACCTGTTTAGTAGCCAGCAGAATACATGTCAAATGGTGGTATTACTAGTACATACTTTTATAAAGTTCATAAAGGCAAAGTCAAGGGCTTGGTGTTCCTTCTCTGACGCTGTTCCTAAAGTTTATCATCGAAATCACAGCATGACTTAAAACCACATTGTGATCCCACTGGTCAGAGTTCTTCAGAAATTCTGGTAATAGTATCTTGCCTACAGCTTTAGTAACCATCCTGGTTATATCAGTAAGCTTTCTCACCATTCTTCTTTTTTAAAATATATTTTATTGATTTTTTTTTTTTTAGAGAGGAAGAGAGAGTTAGAAATATCGATGAGAAACTTCGATCAGCTGCCTCCTGCACACCCCCTACAGGGGATGTTCCCCCAACCAAGGTTCATGCCCTTAACCAGAATCAAACCTGGGACCTTTTAGTCCGAAGGCCAGGCCAATGCTCTCTCCACTGAGCCAAACCAGTTTTCGCTCTCACCATTCTTCTTGAACACATTTACGATAGTGGCATTTTTTAAAAGGTGATATTTCCTCAGTGCTCTGTATGTTAAGGAAAAGGTAATAGTAATAGCTTGTGTACACCTAAAATTTTTGGAGCACCCACTATTGTGTCAGACACTGTCCTAGGTTCTTTACATATTATATTGCTAATACTACTGGGAATTTTATGAAACAAATGCTATTATCCCTATTTTACATATCAGAAGACAGAGATTTAGGAGGCTAACTAACTCATCTAAGTCCTATAGCTTGTGTCAGAAGCCATAGTCAAATCTCAACTTGTCTGGCTTCAAAACTCATCTTTTCACTTCACCCTTTTTAAATTCTCTGCCCCTCAAGGGCTTTCTTATTGACAGTAGAAATCATATTGAGAAAATGACTGAGAAATATTTTTGCCATCTGTCTTTACAGTGTTCCCTCTGAGTTTATAAGGAGAAATTGTCAATCATAGGCTCTGCTGTAAAGATGGCCAGATAATTTTTTTAGGTCTACATGAAAGTTATTATAAGGTGGAATTTGGAGAATTTTAAATGGAATACTGTGCAGTCATTATGAATGATTTGGTAAATATATATCTGTGAACGTGGAAATATGCTCCTAATATAATGTTCAATGAAAAAAAAAAAAAGCAAGGAAGAAAGTAGATGGCCCAGCCAGTTAGTTGGAGTGTAATCAAAAACATTGTGGGTTTGATTCCCTGTCAGGACACATAACTAGGTTGTGAGTTTGATCCCTGGTTGGGACACGTAGAGGAGGCAACTTATCCATGTCTCAGTGTCTGAATCTCTCTCTCTCTCTCTCTCTCTCTCTCTCTCTCTCTCTCTCTCTCTCATCAATAAACATCTCCTTGGGTGAGGATTGTTTTAAAAAGAAAAGAAAATGGCCAAAACCGGTTTGGCTCAATGGATAGAGCGTCTGCTTGGGGACTGAAAGGTCCTGGGTTCTATTCCGGTCAAGGGCATGTACCTTAGTTGCGGGCATATCCCCAGTAGGGTGTGTGCAAGAGGCAGCTGATTGATGACTCTCTCATCGATGTTTCTAACTCTCAATCTCTCTTCCTTCCTTACTGTACAAAATCAATAAAATATATTTTTTAAAAAGAAAAGAAAATGGTCCCATTTTTGCAAAAATAAAAATTAAAATTAAAGTAAACTATTTGCATAAATAAATTTCCACAAAGAAAAATGTCTGGAAGGTTCTACTCCAAATATCAAAAGTTGTTACAGCAAGGTGGCAGGATTATAGGTGACTTTTTTATTTTTTGCTTTTCTATTTTAATTTTCTTCTATGAAGGTATTTAAACCTATATAATAACTAA